CCGATTAACAACACTACATGCTACCCTACCAGTTGTTTTCTTTTTTCTTCTCCTTTTAACCTCAATTGCCAAAGTAAAAATAAAATTCTCCCTTTTTACTATTTTTAAATTACATATCTCTTTTTTTGATTCTTTAACTATCACAAATTCCTATTTAAATTTTTACAACTCTATACTCCTCTAATTAATTATCTCTTTATGCTATTTTCAATCTTTATTATTATTTTTCCTTTTACCAATTCTCTCCTAAATTGAATTCTTTAAATAATTTCACAAATATACGGCGTGTAAAACATTACCTATCTAATTCTTTAGCGATATTCCTATGGCCACTTGAACCCTCAAGCATTTGATTTTTCTACCGATTTCATTTATTTTCTACCCACTTTATATATATATATTTACATTTACGGTCCACAAATTAAGATTGGCTGCCCTACAAGGTCCAAATTCTCCCAAAAACTCTTCTTTTTTTTTTGAATTTTTTTTTTAAAATTTTCTATTCTATACCAATTTTTTACACATATTATTATTCCAATTACCAATTTTTTTTTTTTACATATTATTATTCCATTATACTCGTACTCTTAACTGATTTCTATGTCTCGTAACCTCACTAAACTTTTAATACTTTATTTCCTACATTCTCTATAACTATTCCTTTTTCCCATTTTTTACTCATTCCATACATCCGAACCCACATTAATTGATCAACCACGAATTTCGACACAACACAATCTCCCCTCTCTATCTCCAAATCTACCGGTCTCAAATTATCCAAAAAAAAAATTAATTTTTCTTCCCATCATTTTCTCTGCTGGTGACTTGCCATCCTTTCCAATCGCACTATTGTAATACAAATGCGTTATCCACAATTCTCCCTTACTTTCTTTATTCTTTTTTAACCAATTTTTCACTATCGCTACCATCCGTTCCGCCTGCCCATTTGAACTAGGATGGTAAGGTGATGATAATATATGTCTTACATTCATCTTTACACAAAAATTTTTAAACAAGACAATTATAAAGGCCGGTCCCCCATCGGACACCATAATACCTGGAATACCAAACCTCGAAAACCATTTTTTGCAATGTTTTATCACTATTCCCGCTGTTAAACCATGTACTTTTTCAAACTCAATCCATTTCGAAAATGCATCTACACTCAAAATAAATTTTTTTTCTTCCCATTCAAAAAAATCCAAATGCAATCTTATCCATGGTCCCTTAACCTTTGGCCAATTACTACCCTTTTCCTTCCGGGGCATATATAACCAGGCATTGCAAACCTCACAACTTTTACACAAATCATTAATTTCTTCATTCATCCCGGGCCACCATACATATTCCCTTCCCCATTGCTTCATTTTTTCTATTCCTTGATGCCCCCTATGTAACATATTCAACACCCTTTCCCTCAAACGTCGTGGGACTATAACTCTATTTCCCCTCATTATACAATCATCAATTATTACCAATTCAGTTTCTATATTTTTATACTTATTTCCTTTATCATTCCACACTCTTTTACCTGTTAGAAATAATTTTATTAAAAATTCCCTATCCTTTAGGGTATACTCTTGTATTTCTTTCCATGTAGTAGGGCTACCCTTGAAACCCCCCGTTAATATCCGAATTAATGCTTTTTCCTCCATCATATCTTCCATTACATAACTATTTTCTTCTCCCATACCTAATCTAGATAACACATCGGGTAAATGATTTTCTTTACCCTGTCGATATTTCAATTCCAAATCAAAGCTTCCTACTAACAGGAGCCACTTCTGAAGCCTCGGCGACATCATCAGTTCCTTATTATTCTTCCTGAACAAATGTATCAATGGCTTATGGTCAGTATACATTATAAATTTCGTTCTAATTAAATATTCCCTACATTTCGTCAAACCAAAAATAACCGCCAACGCTTCTTGCACTATTACCGAATATCTTGTTTCTACTTCTCTAAAAACTCTCGAGAAAAATATTACCGGTCTTTCTATACCTTCTATCAAATGTAATAACGCTCCTCCCACCCCTTTATTAGAAGCATCAACAGCCATAATCACTTCCAATTCACTATTAAAACACACTAACACAGGCTCTTTACTAATTTCCAATTTTTCAAATTCTATATCTTTTTTTTATTGTTCTATTCTTTCAATTTCTGTCATTTCCATTTTCAACTTTTCATGCCATGAGTTTTTTTTTTTGTTAATGATGTGAATTTTTTTTTAATGATGTGAATTTTTATAAATTTAGTTATATGGATTAGCAATCATTTTTAGCATGTAACCTGGAGTTTATCCTTAGAAGGGGGTACATGTTGTAGTAAATAAATAAATATAAGGATTTTTGTATTTTTTTAAAGAAATATATTGATTTTATTGGTATGTTTATATGTGAAAAGAAAGAAAAAATGAGGTCATTGATTTTTTTATATATATTTTTTTTGGGTAGTTCGCGATATAAATATATGTAATTTTATGTATTCGAGATACATGATATGTTTTTGGAATTGATTAATAAAGAAATAAAAATATATTTTAATCGCCACAGTTTGATTTAAAGAAATAAAATTATAGTATCTAGAAATCAAATCGCTACAGTTTTTTTTTTGATATGGGTATCAATCGATAGCTAATCAAAAGATCTATTCAACTGGAAAACTGTAGCGATTTGATTTCTAGATACTATAATTTTATTTCTTTAAATCAAACTGTGGCGATTAAAATATTTTTTTATTTCTTTATTAATCAATTCCAAAAACATATCATGTATCTCGAATATATAAAATAACATATATTTTTATCGCGAACTACCAAAAAAAAAATATATATAAAAAAATCAATGACCTCATTTTTTCTTTCTTTTCACATATAAACATACCAATAAAATCAATATATTTCTTTAAAAAAATACAAAAATCAATATATTTATTTATTTACTACAACAATTTTACTTTTATTAAGATAAATAAATTAAAATTACTCACTTTATAAAAAATTATATTTGATATATTATTTATTAATTTTATGGTATTAATAATTATAATACATTTCACTTTTGTCTTAAGACTTGTCTTTGGCTTATATTCCATTTCCTAAAAAAACTTTTTATATATATAAATGCTTTTCCCCAAAAATTTATAAATTATGATGAATAGTTTTATAAAAAATATATCAAATTTTACATTCTTTCTTTAAAATTATCGTTTAAGATATATGCATACATTTTTGAGGGTCAGGGAATGGGGGAAGGACTAAGGGCGGTATTTTTTATTAGCTTAAAATGATATTCACAAAAAGTGATAAATTTCTGAAGGGGGGGGGGTTTCTCCTTGCCACCCCCCCTCTCTGGCTACGCCTAAATAATATTATTTAATTCTTATCAATATCAAAATTGTATATTTTCTTTATTGTCAAAACAAAGGCAATAATAATAATATTATTTAATTCTTATCAATATCAAAATTGTATATTTTCTTTATTGTCAAAACAAAGGCAATAATAATAATATTATCAAGATTCCATCTAGATATATCTTATAACATCTATAATCACCGTAAAATATTTCATATCATAACATTAAAAATCTTTTTACAAATAAGTCACATGATTTAAAAACAATAATTCTTTTTCTCGAAAAAATATCTTCAAAAAAGTTTATATCAGTCAATTACAAATCGACAGATACAAGTTATGATATGACACTTGATAAAGCTCAGGAATGATATATTTTTATGGACATTTATAAGTAGCTATATATAACTCGAGTTTATTATCCTCATAATCTAAAGATAATATATAAAACAAGAAATGCAAACAATGTGAAGTATTGTGAGATTATAACCAATTAATCGCGATTTATACGAATAATTGATAATACTGCCCATTTAATTAAGATCTGATGAAAGGAAATTAGAGACTAATATGTTTTTATTACTAAAATAGGATTTAATATCCTAAAGGATAGTTTATTTATGAACATTATATTGCCAATTGGTCTCCTCGAACAATATTCACTATTCACTTCTTATTAACTTGCTTGATGACGAAGGAGTAATGAATAATACTCCATTTTTGTTATTTAGATTCTATCTCAATTTCTAAAAGCGAATAAAGCTTGACAAAATCTTTCTTCGAATAATACTTGTCTATTCATGATTATTTTGCATTATGTTAGTAAAAATTTTATTTCCTATTTGATATCATGACGATACAAAATGGTATTTTTTTATAATTTATTTTGATACCTACAAATGTTTTTCACCCCTATTTATAATTCATCACAACTTCCGATTCTTCGCCATTTGTATTTACAGATCCCAACCTCGCTGAATCTATTTTTTTTAAATGCATAAAAAATCATCAAAAATATCTATCGTATTATTGGGATGATTCTTTCTTTTATTTATTAATAAAAAATAAGTGTTAATTTCTTACTAAGGAATAATAAAGTGTTTAAAATTTAAGATAAATATTTTTGATTTTTTTTATATATGACATGATTTCACACCGTTTTCTTATCAAATTACATATCAGGTGTTTTTTTCTCCACTTTATTAATTCATCAGATGGATATAAATATTTCACATGATGACATTCATTCATTTACCTTTTAAACCTCATTTTATTAGATTAAAAGGATTTGAGGACATCATCTATTCATCCCAAATGGCGAAGATTTTCCGGTTCATTTTTGGAAGAATATGACTTAACAAATGAAATGGAATTTTGATGTCTATGGTTTCAAATATTCTTAACTCACTCTTTATCATGAATATGGTTATTCAAGACTAAAAAACAGATAAGACTTATATTTTTTTTATAATAATTATTATTAAATTATTATTACATCGGAAAGGGTAAGTTCTACTCATTTAGTTAAACTACAACTGGGTACAAGGTTTGTTGGTATCCTTGAGAAAAAAAAATCGGCATAATTTTATGAAAGGTTGGCCTTCAAAAATTCATGTTCGCTCATTTTGGGCAGGTCTATGATCAACGTGCTAGATAAGATAATAATTCATCAGATGCATTTTTCTCTATTTTACTATTCAAATGCATGCTAATTTTTAAGCACATTTTTTTCAAGCCTTTATTAATCAAATATCGACAATATAACAATATGATTGTTAAAGTAATATATATTTAATATAAATCTTAATTATCGATATATATATATAGTCAGCTGTGATTCTTGGGTGCTATACTAATGGTGATAAAATTAAGCTTACTCCAAATGCATTAAAAATAGATCAACAATTAAACGGGAAGTTGAGCAATTTATTGTCCATGTATATTTTAATAAATGTATCATAATAAATATAAATTTTTAGTACTGGACCCATAAAGTTAAAGAAATCAAAAACATTTTATGGACTATCAGAGGTTATATAAATATTTGAAATTTATATATAATTATTAATTTTAGCAATTACCATGTATTTCTGTAGTTGGAATTGGAGTGGAATCTGCAAGTTATAATTCTCAAGAAATGATAGATGATGCTAAAGAAAATGTCAGATTGGGAATAGGATGTAAATTACAAATAAAAAAGATAATTTTGTTTTTTTTAAATAGGTGGGTGTTGCCATTTAAAAGATCTGGAAATTGCTTCAATAACTGTAGATCCTTGTAATCAAGCTGAAGGTAATGCCTTAGTTCAATTTTAAAAATACAATAATAATTTTTTAATAACCAATTAAATATTTTATTGATAAATACATTTTATCTTATATAATTAAAAACAAATTTATTATATAAATAAAATTATAAAATATATTAGACATAATAGCTGTTATATATTAAGATCTTTAAAAAAAATTAAACAGATGGAGTTTGTATCAAATATATTTTATACCACTCATGTTATAAGTATAATTCATTGGCATAAGATTTAATAATGAGCAAAAAATAATATATTACAAATAATTTATTTGCTAGACAGTTTACCATGCTTAAAATGCCTTATTTGTTTCTTAACTAGTAAATTAAATGGCATTTTAAATGCTCAATTAATTTAACATAAATTATTAGAAGTGCTCTTAACATTGACAATATAAAGCAAAATCATTTTAGAAATAATCAATAATCATATATTTTAACCACTATAAGCTATTACGCATATAACATTATGGGCAAATTAACATTTTATAATAAATTTATGTTTGAAAAATTTGGGGAGAGAGTGTTTAATATTGTTTAAATTTTGCATCCATTATATTTATATCATTTTACTACATGTCATTTATTTTAATATTAAAAAAGAAATATTATCCTTCTTATGAAGTTATCTTTATGAACATTTCAATTCAAAATTTATATCACAAATTATAATAAACAAAAACAAGCCATTTTACTCCTCACTTATGTGCCTTGAGGCAGTAGAAAGCGTGCTAGTATTATAAACTACATTTTCATATCTTATCTTGGCAGTTGAAACATTTTGATTTGAACTGTAACCTCTTCCTATATCAAACCCCTTTTCCCCAGTGGCCTTACCAAAACTGTTTTTTTCCTCCTTTAGTTCTGGTTTATTATTATTATTGTAATATAAATCATAGCCTGTAAAAGTTTTTCCCGAAGTGCTTTGGGGAGATTGATGATAGTAATAATAAGGTGAGTAGGCTGATCTTAGTGAATTCCCTGCCCTTGAGTAAGTATCCCCACTGTATGTGTAAAAAGTTCCGGTTCTTTCTGAATGGCACACTCTATTTGCATTGTTTGTGATTGCACTATTTCCACTGGCATCAATATTGGAGCCATACTTGTATGGATCTTTCTCTATATCACCTCTCGTTAATTTTCCGCTGCTATCTATGTAATCGTCCACATTATCTTCAAAAAATTGCTGACGATCTATTTTTGACCAGGAATAAAAAAATATATTATACCCATATTTAAATTTAATTTAAACCAAAAACTTTAACTTAAATCTAATAACTGATTGTGAATTTAAAAATTGAATAAAATTCTTTAAAATTCAGGACAGAATAATGTAGAACTAAATATATTTAAATATAATGTATGAATAATTTTCTGAGTATAATATAAATGACTAGAGAAGATCAGACGTCCATCCCTAATATGCGCCGTCATCCATGATATGTCTCTGATATGTGTTACGTTTTTAAAAATAATTATGTGATTTGGCTATAAAAAGCTAAATTCTTGTTTAAAAAAATTAATGTGCCTAATCTTCTGAGAAATTTGCACTAATTTATAATATCTACACTAGTGATGTAAATATATAAAAATCACGTCATTACTATTTATAAAAGTAACTAATTAAAGTAGACCACATATTTTGAAAGTAAAGCTGAAATAAACGATCTTACATATTAAAGCTTTGAAAAACAATATTCTATTAAAAATTTAAAAATAAGAATAATCATAAATATAATAATTCTGTGCAATTTATTTGAATTTTGAGATTTCTGTAAATATATATCAAAACTTTCTCGGTATTTAAAAAAAGTAAAATTATAGCATTTATTTTTTAAATTACAGATAACGGCGTTACTTTTACCTTACCATTTTAGAGTAACGCGAAATATAACGTTGCTTTATTATATTTTTTATATTTAATGTAGACCGTCAAATATTTTTGTTGTTTGATATAGATTTTAATTTTAACAATTGTGACTTTTTTTTAAAAATTCTTCACATATACATTCCATAATACATGTTTAAACCGTTACTTTACAATGAATAAATGATTAAATTAATTGGCGAAAATTACCAGAGATCCCTTCCCCCAAAACTATCTCGGTTGTGCTATCTTGTCTAAAGTTGACGATTTATTTATTAAAAAAAGGCACAATCCATTTCAATAAAATTCAAGTCATCATGACCATGGACTACATTATAAAAAAATTTTTTTTATATCGCCTATCAAAATTTTTCCTTTTACCTTTATAAATTAATATCCTATTCTAAAGCTACTATTCATAAAATTATAATTCAAAGTCCTTAGTGGAACATCTATTTAGCATTGGAAAGCAGATTTTAGAAGAAAAAAGAAAGCATTAGATAAAATTATAGAAAATAACATATTTTACAGATAAAAAACCTTATTGATGAAGAATATAAGGCTCAACTAATCCATAAATCCAATATTTTTCGATATTCACATATAACCGGAATTGGTTAAGAGATTAATATTGGCCGAATATAGAAAAATATCATATAGGCACATCTTGTAAAAATTATAGTAAAATATAATATATTATATGTTTTTATAGGATATAGATATTAATAGTGTTGTAAACGAACGCGTTCAGAACGAAGTTCGTTTTTTTAAAAAAAATGATGAACGGCTTTTATTTTTGACGAACTTTGAACGTGAACGCGTTCCTTTTTTATGACGAACGCGTTCGAATTTAACGTCCGTTCAATTTTAAAAATATTTTTTTTATTTATTTGAAAAATTTAATATTTCCGAATTTTTTTAAAAAATGTATTTATATTTTTTAATCGGCTGTGTATTTCCTTTTCACATTTCAATTTTTTTAACACATAGTTTATTAATTTGAATATAATTGTTTATATTTTATATTAATAGATTAGCATAAGCATGGATATTATTATTTAATCCTCATAATCTGATTCTGAAAATCCAAAATCAGATGAATTATCATTACTATGGCCAAATATGATAAATGTTTTACAGTAACATCCTATATTGAAGGAACTAATTCATGCTTACCAAGTAAAATGTAGCCAAAAAGTATTATATTGTCAAAATCTTCAGGTTCCAATTTAAAACGACATTTGATTTTAATATTAATTATTTGATTTTATATGATATAACTAAGTTAAATCATTAAATTTAAAGAAATAATGCATTTAGGATATTTGACCCCAACAATAACGATAGTTATTATAAAATTAAAAAAATTAGTGGCCTCAAATATGGTCAACCATTGATAGACGCCGTGTTAAATGGGATTAATAAAAGGTATTAAACCTATCACTCTCAATTAATTACATATATTTTATTTTTTTAAAGTATTGAACATATATATAAGGATCAATATGTTCTTTCTGCAATTATACATCCAGCATCCAAACTTCAATGGCCATAGATAAAACTTCCACAGAACGAACCTATTAAAATAAACTTATAGCGTTATTGAAAAAAATGCTTTGAAAACCCTAGAGAACTGTTAATTTCTAGATAACCTTTTTTTTGTCGAGAGTAGAGAGTAAATTGGAGGAGGATAACTTATCTCAATTTTTTGCAAATAACAAAACAATATGTTTTTAATTAATTCTCCACGTTAAAAGAGCTGTTTATTAAGTATAATACCGCAATCCCCTCATCTGCCCCTGTAGAACGCGTTTTTAGGCTAATGCCGTATTAACTGCTTTATAATTATATTATCAATCAAAATAATTATTTTTTAACATGGCTAAAATATATTGTATTAAAAAATATAAGTTTATTTATATTAAATTTAATTTAAAAAAAATTTATCATAAAATTTTAAACGAATTTATGAACGTGAACGCGTTCCTTTTTTTTGAACATGAACTTGAACACGCGTTCGATTTTTGTCAATGAACGTTGAACACGAACGCGTTCGATTTTTTTAAAAATGTTTACAGCATTAGATAATAACAATAAAATGTTCATTTCTTTCTCAAATCTCTATTAGCTATAGATTATAAAATAAATATGATTTTTGCAGAAATTGAGGCTTACATTTAAAATGGTGGGTGTCGATCTTGAGCCCATCGATATTGCCTAACTACTCTTGATTTTAGTGTTCGTTAATTATAATAAACTTTAAAACTTCATCATTTTTTGGTGTTACTTTTGGACAAAGTAATTTATTAATTAGTTACTTTTTAAAAAGTAACCTAATAACTCTATTTGGGAAACGCTCTATATTTTGTTCTGAAGGTGGAGATGGAACAGGACTGGACGTTTGATCTTTTTTATAAATTAATTTCATTATATTTTTTAATGTGCATAATTTTATATATATTTTGTAAATAACCCCTTTGTTGTTTATTGTATGATGATCTCAACTGTTGATCAGTGTTGCCCATGATTGGATCAGCTACCCTGGATAATGTAGTGGTGGTAGACCTATAAACGACCACGTCGGGATTTTTATTGTTCTCTGCCTCCTGCAAAGTGGTTGCGGGAGGTGGAGGAAGGTACTTTAGGGAGTTGTAATGAATATTGTGAATGTCTACCTCGCCGTAATGCACTAAATTATTTTGATCGGCGGGTGTATTGATTTTATTAACAATAGCCGAACTCTGTTGATCACCAAGTCGGTGAGTATCTTTCAATGCTATTTCAACATCGTTTGGTTGTCCTTTTTCGTTGGATTTTTTTCTATTCTTGCTCTTTCCTACATCTTTTGATTTTTTAGTAGACCCTAGGATTATAAAAAAAAATAATCTATCTGTTAATAAATAAAAACTATATTTGATGTTTTTTTAAATATTAAAAAAACGGCTACCATCTAAATGTGTTCCACCAAACCAATAGGGAATTCCTAGCCTTTTACCCTTCTTCGTTTCCTCTTCGTTATAAGGTTCCTTTAATTTCCTATCTAAGTTGTTAATAGCATCAAATGGCGGTGATGTATTCTTGACCAATCGGACTTGCATCTTTTCGAGACCATTACTGGATCTCTTAAAAGTGGAGGTTCCTCCTCCCTCCAAATCTTTATTTTCATTTCTAACCTCCGTATCATAAACCATGGGGGTTTCTATAAATTCTTGTAAGTTAGAAAATAAAATTTAGATTAGAAATGTTTATTAGTTATATTATATTATTTTCTCAATTTCCTCCTTGGAAAATTAGCCTCAGAAAAAAGAAACGTGATTATAATGGTTAAAATAAAGGCTCACATAGAAATTTGGTATAATATTACTTAGATTAGTTTTAGCTGACATCAACCCATTACCATTTATTTATAATGTTTACGAGGCATTTAAATGTACCATGTAATCTAAATATCATTTATAAAAAATTTCTGAGTCAACTGTATTTTAAACTTATAATGGGGGTGCGATATCACATTTAATTTTTATAAAAAGTTGCATATAAATTTTTGTTAGATTTGTAATTTTTTTGATCATAATTATTTTCATCTAGAACATATAACTTTATTTCTAATTTTTTTTTCATGGTTGTTTGTCTTTTGTTGGTCACACTTAACATTATATTCCACTTCACAATTTTTGACTCGAACCTGCCCGCTGCCTTGTGACAATTTATTTTCATCTAGGCCCAGCCCAAGTCCCTAATTTTAAAATGCTATGAGAAAAAATCAAATCAAAATATTTACTTTATTCTCTATTTTAAATTTATGCATTAAATTTAAATACTCGGCAATAACTTGTTAAATATTATAAAGAAATGAATAGTATATATCTCCTATCTGCTAATTTTTCTTAAAACTTTTCTTATTTTTAAAAATTAATTTTTAATTGAGATATTCAATCAACCAAAAAAGGAATAGTGTTGTGTTTATATTTTATTGATGTTGTTAGCAATGGCTCGGTGACCCTGCAGGACTCTTAATAAAATTCACTTGTCTACCTATATACCAAACCTCTTTGCGCTGATCGAATTTAATTTACTCTAAAACCTATCATCTATCTCAACATCCACAATTGAAAATATATGCGGTTGATCTTCATTACTATAAAATACCTTATTGTTTTTATTTCAAAGGGTAACTCAATTTATTCAAATATATTTTGTTTTTTGTAACTATTTATGTTATCATTTTCGTTGTCTGCTGCAGCACCGCTAAGCATAGAGATCGCCATAGGAGTTGCCGGGCGAGGTCTGGCGAAATCGGCATCTTCATCTCCTATGTTTATAGTGTCTTGTTGAATTTTTTGTAATTGAGACTGGTAATTTTTTATAAATTAAAGCAAACAATATTTTCAAAAGGTTTATTTTAAATTCATTAAAAACATCTGGCTAGAATTTAAATATAATATAATTTTACAAAGAAATGCTTACAGGTTATCAAATTTATTAGCGATGGGTGCAAAAATCTATCTAACTTGTCCATCATGGTTAGTGTTGTTAACGGGTTCGTTTTAACCAATTTTAAATTTTAGTCAAATAATATTACGCAAGCCTGAATATTCGTTAATAGATGCCCAAACTTTTCTGCCATCTCGAGCGAAATCACAGGCATGTTTAATATTTTTTGGATAAAATATTTCTTTAGCAAAAAACTCCAACAAAACAAAATCGTGAAAAATTCTTATCCAGTTTGCTCTTATCTTAATTACTAATATTGAAAATTGTTTTGAGGAAATTATAAGATGCAAAATGTTGTTTTTAATGTTCGGAGTGTTTAGATTAAAATTAAAGGTATTCCAAACCGGATTATTTAGAAATATTGTGTTCGATTAGAAAGTGTAAAATTACTTTATCCCCTCTATCCGGATTCATATTATCTGCTCTTTGGTATCCTTGCCTTTTCTTGCTTCCCCAGAAAGGGCAAATTCCTGATCTTTTCGATGATCCTTCATTTTGCCTATCAATTTTGATCTTAGAGATTCGGTTATTTTTGCTAACCATGGTAGCTTTCTCACCTTGTCCATTGACTTCGATTTCCCTGCCTACGTCTCTTCCTTCCTCTTTATTATTATCGCAAATGTTCCCACAACATACGTTACGACAAGCGTGGCGAAATTTATCATAAAAAGCCAACAACAAAAACAGGTGTAGGATTGCGTTGAGATATATAAAAGCCTGAAATATTTGGCTTAATACTATTGATTTTACGGTAGGCCCCCCTTCTTGAATCCTGTGCATCCATATTTGTGAGAGCGCAAAGGGAATGAGTAGAAGCGGGGTAAAAAAACACAAAGAAGCCAGCATAAAATTCGATCTTGTTCTAGACCAAAACCTGTGTTTAGCCCGTTTACGTCTGATGATGTCAGGTCCTCCCGCTCCGGGATGTCTCATTAATATTCCCCGTTCCGAAACGTTGTAGTAATCCGAAGAATTATTGTATAACATTCCGTCATCGTATGAGGAACTCGATTCGTAATCCCGATTCATATTATTATTATAATCATCGATAGGGCGCTGGGTCCATTTTTCGTTAGAATTGTTAGCGTTTCTATTGAAATATCGACCATAATGCCCGTTTTTGGGGGTGTTGAAGTGTTGAATCATATCCCTTTTATCATTTACATTCCCCTTCTCATCCGAAGCTTTTATCTCACAATTATTATGAGAGTACTTGGGACATTGATTTATTTTACAATAACTCGAATCGAGGTGGTTAGGCATATAGTTTTCGGCGAGATTTTCGTTGTGGTTATTATTATAATTATAGGCATAATAAGGTGTCGACATATGATGGGGTGGGGGTGGAGGCCTTCTCAGGGGTGTAACAACGGTTCCTATTCCGCTTTCAATGTCGCCTCCGCTCCCCCCTAAATTCCCAGTGCTTGAAGTTTCTATATATCCCGTAGGGGTTACCATAACGTTTGGCTTCAATTTTTGTTATTTTTAAAAATTAATATTAATGTTTTTTTTATTATTAAAAATAATATTTATTTTATATATCATTTAATTGTAATTAGAAGAAAAATAATATTAAATATTTTTTAAGTTATTAAAAAATGCGATTTTATTTTTAAAAATAAATATATATTATTTGCTATAAAAACATTTGATTTGTTACAAGATGATATGTTATTATTAGAATAGTAATTTACAGAAAAGATATTGAAATATTATTATATATTTTATTCTTTTAATTTTTGATATTTCAAATCTTTCGTATAAGACCATTAATTATTATATAAGGAGTAATACAATATTTTCTTAATGCAATCTACAACTCATCATATAAAATTTTTTTTCATAAAAGGAAATTTTAATTAATGATTTTTATTTTATTTCCATTATAACATATATAAACATCGAGGACCAAAACAATTATAAGGATTCAGCATTGCAATACCCTGTAACAAAATACAGTATATCCTTGCAAGCAAAACCTTCTTTTGCATGGAAACATTTTGGATCCATGATATTAAAAACTGACACAAATAATAAGAGAACCAGTGTTGCTACAGATAAAGTCTGTATATGATTGCAAATAGCACTTGATAAAAATGGTGAGGATGAAATTAATTATTCATTTTCAAAATAAATTTGTTGATTATTTTTAAAATATTTGTGAATTTTTTAATTAGTTATCCAATCAAATCTTTTTCAAATAATATCAGCACATCAAACATAATAAAACATTTACTTGAGAAACGGGTCATTCCACGTCAAATCGACCAAAAAAACGCGATTTTCCGATGACCATCTTTAAAATAAACGAAACTTGGCATGATAGTTATTTATTTTGTATATTTTTGTAAATTCTAAATTTTAGAGTGCTAGCTCAACCAAATCTAAAGATATACGCCTTCAAAGTAGAGAATCGCATAATGCGTGATTTCTTAAATCTTGTTTTTCTTAAAAAATACTTAAGATAAAATTACAAATAATATATCATTTTATAGCCCTTAAAATTTTACATTGGAAAATATTAAAAAAAAATCAAAAAATTTTAAGTGTTTTTGTATTTCCGGTAAAAATAAAAAATTAACATTCCTGGGAAGGGATATTTTTTTGGTGTTGATACTCTCTAAAAATGTTTATTACCTTTATATTAAACTATTTAATGAAAAATCTCGATAGCCATTTTTGTTTTTTTAATTTTATTAAAATTTTTATTATTTTTATAAATAAAAAAGGATAATATAGATGGTGTTATGTTAATTTTAATAATAATATAAGGAATGACGTAACATAGGTGGAATTTTTTCTAAAAAAAAGATTAAAAATTCTTGAAAAGATTTTTTTATTGTTTCCAGATTACTTCTATCAACAGACACCCACTGTTTAAAGGATATATGATCTATGTCATTTTGGGCAAATACAACATCTAATTGTTTTTTAATTGAGAATGTGCCTGGACAATAGTTACAATCTCCTAAATAACAAATAGGGAGTGCTGGATTGCATATTGTTTGAGCTAAAATATTTTTACAGTTATGTAATGGATATTCTGGCATAGCTAATAGTTTTGCCAAATTAGCATCTACAAACATAAGCTTAAAATTTTGATGAATTACACAAACACACACACTGTGTGTTCCACTGGCTCCAGCCAGAATACAATTTTTTGGCCGTAAATCTGCAAATTTAGAAAATTCAACTTTAATTATCGGGTACCTCTCTTTAAATCGTTCATATAATTCTTTTAAATTGTTTAAAATTAATCTTTTTGAGACTGCTCTCTTTTCCCCTTGATCATTATGGATTTATAATCTTTTTTCCCGGGCATCGCGCGACTGACTTCATCAGAAGAGTAAAATTTTTCTATAATATTCACGGTTTCCTGATCAATTGTTTGCCCAGGTTTTATATTGGGAGATGACATAAATCCTTTTAATTCTATTAGTTTTTTTAATTTTCTTACCAAGTAATTCGTGGCTTTGAACTCCATCTCAATTTTTTTAGAGGTCCAAGAAGGGGGCAATAATTAAGGAGTTGATATTTTTTTTCCTTAGAAATAATTGGATAATGATGTTTTAAATTTTGAAGAAGTTCGTCATTTTTATTATTTTGTATATCAAACTCAGGAAGGCTGCTTCTTAATATGTTTTGACTTAATGCTTTTGTTATTTTTTTAAGTTTTTCTTGCCGATATTTCTTTTCTTTTTTATTGGGGATTGGCCTATTTCTTCTAGCGATACATTTATTATATCCAAAGTTGAAGTGGATGGGGCTAGTTCGGGCTCTTCATTTTCAGATATATCCTCAATGGATTCCTTATTTATCAAATATAAGCGACATGAGTGACATAATGATTGGCCTATTGTTAATAAACCTTTGGATTTTTTAATCATCTTTGGTGTAATTTAATTTTATATATAATAAAAATAATCACGATATCCAATAATAAAAAAGATATTATATTAGTAAAAAATCCAGAATCCCATAATATAAATAAACTTACCTTTTGTAGATTTTTTGAAATAGACTTATGGCCTTCTCTAATGAATGGATTACTACACAGTGATTTCATTATTACAATTTTTTAAATTTAAAAAAAAATTTTAAGTAAAAAAAGAAATATTTTTTTAACCTTATGTTCTTTTCAATCATGATTGATAATTAAAAATTTAATAGAAAGAAAGGAATGAAAAATAAAATAAGATGATAAAATCTTTAATTTCAAATAATAACGATAGTAGATCCAGAAGTGTGAAATATATACAAATTACGGCCTCAAGAATTTCTATTTAAGCGCAAAATGGATTGCGATAAATAGATATATTTTTATAATAGCTTGAATATAATTTTAAAGTATCTTTATATGGGCCGCTTCCTCATTTATTGCCCCAGGACATCATACTGGTTATACTTAATCGATTTCTTTTGATTTTAATACCGCTATAAAATATATTATTATTAAATATAATATATTATTAATAAATTAGTATAACGCCATATATATTATCCTTTTTTATTTACAAAAATAATAAAAATTTTAATAAAATTAAAAAAACAAAAATGGCTTTCGAGATTTTTCATTAAATAGTTTAATATAAAGGTAATAAACATTTTTAGAGAGTATCAACACCAAAAAAAAATCCCTTCCTAGGAATGTTAATTTTTTATTTTTACCGGAAATACAAAAACACTTAAAATTTTTTAACTTCTTTTCAATATTTTCCAATGTAAAATTTTAAGGGCTATAAAGTGATATATTATTTGTACTTCTATCTTAAGTATTTTTTAAGAAAAACAAGATATAAGAAATCACGCATTACGCGATTCTCTACTTTGAAGGCGTATATCTTTGGATCTGGTTGAGCTGGGGCTCTAAAATTTGGATTTTATTATCATTTACAACATAAATAACTAACATGCCAAGTTTCATTCATTTTTGAGATGGTCGGCCGAATCACTGGTCGATTTGTCATGGAATTACCCAAACATGACCTTATAATGTAAAGAAATATCTAAACAAAATTTAAAATAATATTTCTAACCCATTGTAAAAGATATAACTGGCCCAATTAAAGATAAAAATTGGTTTTGGTAAGGAATTATGTTCTCATATGTTGCAAAGATTTAATGTAATTCTCTTCTATAAATAATACTGGAATGCAAGATATTCTAAAGGTTATTTGAAACATAATTATAATTTTTTTATAGTGCAATCTTAATTTTTATTTTAACTGTTAAAATATCTAATTATTTTATAATAGAATATATAAAACTGATCTCATCCCACATTTAGAATTTTTTAAGGCGTCATTTTTTTATTAACTTTTTATTATGTAGAAATATGGCATTATTTCAGATACAAAAGATTTAACAGATAGAACAACACTTAGCCGGAGTGGATTAGATGATATGTATTTATGAATGATATGTCAATAAAATTTATATAGGTCCAAATTTTTGTGCTATAGATTTTGATATATGGACCTACTAATATAGACGATGAAATTATATTACCTTTACATTTCACGAAATAGATGATAATTTTAATATTATATTTTTTACATTGGCGACACATCATGTCACTCAAAAACATACCGACTATTCTTTCCGAGATAGAAAAAATTGTTAAAAATGAATTTGATTTAGGTCCAAGAAAATTCAAATGGTTACGGATGCAAGACCTAATGTAAAGAAAAGTGTTCGTCTAGGAGAATATGACCATCATTTATGTTTAGGGCATGGATTACACTAGTGATATCCGATGGAATAAAAAAGTTAATAAAATAAATCTCATTAAAAAGTGAGAGAAATTATAGTTGCTTTAAGATTCAACAGTTTTTGAAAAAATGGTGATAATGATCCTTTTTATGAAGATCGTTTTGGGTTAATTAAATGTGCCTACACGTTGGTATAGTATTTTAATAATGCTGGAAAGTGTGAGTGGCAATAACAGAAATCCTATAAATATTCTATTAAATAGAATGGAGAAACCAGAGCTCAAATTATTTAACTTCGATTGGGACTTGGTGCATGAACTTTTCAATTTTCTAAAAACCTTCAAATAAACTGGTGAATTCCGCCCAAAAAGGATTTACTATAAATTTATTCTTATTATTTCGTAGTGAAATTAAAAATCATTTAATCGTAAAAGAATATGATAGCCCTCCCATCGCATCTCTAAATTTGATCATAGATTTCCAATAACTGATCTTCAGTTAGTATTTTAAAATACATAAATTAGTTTTTTTTAAATATTATTTCTCTGTTTTATTTTTTACTTAGGTGTTGGGAGCACTTTTAGATCCTCGTTTCAAAAATAATATTACTACGGTGCAATTTTTATGTCAATACGCTACCTCTCTATTTACATGGACGAATAAGCTGAATGTAAAATAACGGAAGTTGCTTCAGAATTCGATTATCTTAAGTTATTGGCTACCAAACATTCATCTATTCATAACAATAATCTTCGCAACAAGACTATTTGACTAGTCTAGAAAAAGAATTTCATTATTTTAACCTTATAATTCAGAGATAAAAGATGTCTTAGATTTTTGGAAGATAAGAGTATTGGATCTTCCTTTTATTATTAGCTAGAAAGGTCCTGTGCGTTCCAGCTACGAGCACACCCAGCGACCATGTTTTTTCATAGCTGGGCTCACTCTGAGCTCTAAAAGATTATTATTATGCCCTATAAATCTAAATAAAATATTATTTATACATGATAATTATAACTTAATAAAATCGTCAAATTATAGTTTAATAAAGCATAAATTTTATTTTAAAAGTATTTGCAATGAATTTATTTTAATTAAAAAAATTTAAGTTAGAAAAATATTTGAGGCCGTCGCGTCGCCGCCGATTTTTATGGCGGCGTCTAAATTAATTCGCCTCCGCCAACCGATCGTTTTAAAAATGAAACGCCGCGCAGATAATTCTGTTGGTGCACAGGTCTACCTAATTAATAATATAATAATCCGCGCATTTCTTTCTGAAAGTTAAGCTTATGTTTCTTACCCTTATTCCAAATTTTTGGGAGTAATAGCTATTTATATATAATAGATATTTTGATTTTCATTCTATTTATTCATAATAGTTATGAAATTTGATACAGACAAATTATATAGGAAAAAACTAAACTACTTATGAAATATGCATATGTCAAAAATTATAACTTTCAAAATGAAAATTGTAAACCTAAAACTAACTTTTTTTGCAAATATTAATAATATAATTTGCCTATTAAGCTAAAAAATAAAAAGTATTTTAAATATTAGAGAAATAAATTGTAGAATTGGATAATTTTATTTTTACTAGTGCACACTTATACAAAGATAAAATCTCAGATGATATTTATCACATATCGTTTGGCTGTATTTAATAATTTCAAATTCGTTTAGAGATAATTTATATAATTAAAATAACTAAACAAAATAAATTCATATTTTAAGATATCGTAATTTACCAATATTTGAAAATTCGAACAAATTATTCTGTCATGTATATTTTTAAAAAAAACTAATATTTATGAGTCTGTTATTTTCAGACATTTAATAATACGATTTATTCATGTGAATAAATACAAATCAGCTTGGCAAGTCATTTTAGTTACCCATACAAACAATTTGCATTAATTTTATGAAAACATATTTTGAAAAATATTAAATCAATATGGTGGGTTACCAACTGATTAGTATTCAACGAAGCTTTAAAATGCATTTTAATGAATTGAATCGTCATTCTAGGTGAGTATGTCATAAGATATTTTCTAGAAACATAATTTTAGTCGCTAAAATGATTATTCTTCAATTGTTATTATGTCCCAAAAAAGTGATTATAATTTTTAAAAGGTTATAATTTTAGGTTTAACAAAATAAGTTTTTCTTTCTTTAATAACTTCAAGAATGTGACGATATGACTAAGACAGGTTTTAAAATTATGAATGATAAAATAAAAGAATGTCATGAGTCAAAGTTGATGCTTGAAAATTCAAACATTGGTAAGTAATGAATGTTCAATCATTATTGTTGTAGAACCCTGTATATATCTCTTCAATCCAATAAAACTCGGATCGGTGTTATAGGATTCGTTTGAGCCGAAGAATGTTTTTTAAATTTTTATTCGGACAGAATTTGAACCTCAATTGGAATTTTTTATATATTTATAATAATGTCTTATAAATATTCTTTTAACTTATGATTTTCCCGCTAGAAAATCCTATATCTTTAATTTATTATTTAAAGTTCGGATCGGATTCTGATGGATTGGTCTGACAAAAAAATTTCGATAGGGCCGGACTTGATAAAATTTTGATAGGGCCGGATCTGATAAAATAGGTCCTACATGGCCCTATTTAAGATTATAACATATAATGTATGATTACCTCGTCTGAGTCTAATATATAAGGGTGGCGTACTGGTTCAGGTCCTCTAGCTTTCTCGATTTCCTTTAACTCTTTAACCCTTTTTCTAACCCTTCGCCGATCCCGACATATGACATTTGTTAGTAAAGAAGATAGCAGGAATAAAGCCACCAAGGGAATAATTGTTGATACAAGCATAACAAACCAATCATACATTCGGCAATAAAATCTAGATCCATGTACAGTATTTCGCCTAAAAAATAGATTATCATTGTAAGCAGGATGATATCTTTCGAACGCCATCCATATTCTGGGTAGTGAACTGGCTAATCCAAATACATATATCAATGAAACGACTCCCACTGCTCCCCAAGTTCCACATCGCTTTAGCGAAATTCTTCTATCACCGGCCGCGCTCTTATTCCATCTTAAGCAGCGGTCAATTGCTGCAGCGATAAGAATGTATATTGAAATTATCCAAAATGCCTCAGAAAGGGCCATAAAATAAGAATCTAATCGGGCTAGTTTAGCGCTGAGTGAATACCAAATGTTTCGACCAGAACCCAATATATTATTATGTATTTTTTGAGATTGAGTTGCTCTATTTTTATCATTAAATGAATAAACTAGGTTAGTGGGATTTGTAGTTGACAAATAATCCGCTCGTATTAAGGACAAGTCGGAACGTTTACGCGAATAATAATCAGACGAAACACCTCCTCCGCTCCATGTCAAATATTGAAGTATACCAGCGCAAATTAAAAAAAACAGATCCGAAATTGTGTGCGCCCCTAGGTACACGTTAAGAGCCGTCCCCATTTCTCGTTTTCTCCTTCCGAATATGACGGCTGCGATGCCGAGTTTACACATGAAAGCTAGTGCTATGAGGATAGGAATGAGAATGGTGAGTACTCGAGCGCTACCCCCAACCCAAAAGGGTTCGTCATTACATTGCGTGTCGCAGTAGCTCGTTACGCAAGGTTGACTACCTGCCAACACTGGGTTGCAGATATCCTCTGACCCGTAGCAATAAAACTTTTTGAGAATGTTTGACGAGGTGTCACCTAACCACCACGAAGTATTGTCGGCACCATATAAATTTTGTGACAAGGGGTTTCCAGTTTGAATCGTTTTATTGAGGATATCGCCCCTGATCACCGATAAGAGGGATGTGGAAGAGTAGAATGGGCTAGAGTAATAATTTTCAGAAAGTGAGGGTAGTGGAGACCTGTTATGATTGTAATAATCGCTTCCCAAAACTCGTATAGTGCTATTTGCGTTATCGGTAAATTCGTTGAACAAACGAGAGATATTATCTTGCACGTAAGCCTGCCTCGGATCTCTCAAATCGGTGGCATGTATTTCTTTATTGAAAATTTCATTTTCCACTTCATTACCGTTGTCTCTTGGATTTATGAATAAGGGCGTAGTTATTTCTTTAAAGGGGGTTAGCGTGTAATCCTTGATCCTAGATAAAAAATCTGTATAAGCATTAAGATAGTTTTCCTTAAGATTATAATCCTGCTCCACTCTTTCATCTGCCAATGTAGAAAATTTAGGCTTTGTGATGTAATAAACCTTTCTGGTACTTGGAATATTCATTTAGTATTTAAGCATTATGAAATTCTCCGTTTATTATAGTATTATCTATTACCTTGTATGATGTTATAATAATCACATAATTTTCTTATGTCTCCATGCGAAAATGGTAGCCTCTGAATTAATAATTTAAAAAAAATGATAAAATAAGGCATTCATAAATTATCAATTGATTTTATATGATGATTTTGATTTGTGTAATTAGATAAACGATGAATTAACATAAAAATGAGGATAGGTGACTAATAAAAAAAAATAGTTGAAATATATCATCCTTGAACACTTGATTTATCTTTTTCCCCCTATTTTGTCACAAGTGACAATCATTTATTCATAATATTATTTTAGTTTAAAATTAACAGATGAACAAGTTATTTTGTGAAAATTAAAACAAAAGGTTTTAATAAATTAAGTGATTATGCACAAATGAAATACTTTTGAAACTTAATACATTTTTATTTACAATAAATTAAATACCATTTACTTTCCAATTTCCATTCCAAGTAAAAAAGAATTCATGTTCAAATTGTAAAAATAATTTAGATAAAATAATTACATAATTTTTATTATTTTTTTTTATCTCATCACTAAAATAGAGCAGAAAATATAAAATAATATAGCTTTATTGATTTTTTTTTCCAACTTATAAAAAATGTCGTTTTTTAGATTTAAATTGCTATTGATAGTAAAAGCTCAATTACGTATAGAGGGATTAATGTTACTTTATATTAATTTATTGTCGTCGAAATAAATAAAGAAAATTAATTTTTTTTATTTATTAAATCCATGTGGATATAGATCCCATTCCTCCTTGTGGCGATCGTCAAAACCCGGTCTAACTCGTTCCTAAAAAACAAGGAATTAATGAAGGCGAATCCAATATTTGCTCAAATATTATTTAATTATTTATCCTTTTTGAATTTTATAGATTAAGAATTGTCTAACCTACGAATATAGATATTTATGTTTCCAATTCCATCTAAAATTGTAAGGGACTAATTACTTTAAAAAAACACATCATTATCTCAAGAGAGTATTTTCTAAGACTGGTGACATTTCCAAAAGCATAACCACAGTGTTTGCTTTCATAAGATTCATTCATGGATTTCATATGGGATAACTTTTGAGATAAATTAGGGATAGATGTATTATTTTATTCTGCTATCACAAAATTGTATGAAATTTTGGCTATAATGAACTTTTTATTATTAATTATATCAAGTTGAAGTTAAAAAAATTAACGATACAATAACTTCATATTAAGAAAAAAATATTAATTTAATCTATAATAGAAATAAAATTTAAATTCGGGTAATCAAATCATTAGTATATCGAAGATGAACTTAACTATATTCATTTATTGAAATAATCTATCAAATTTAGTATGAAAAGAAATGGGCGTCTAATATTTTCAGAGAAAATTGGTTATCATTTAAAAAAAATATCAATGCCAATTAATCTTGATTTTTTATCTATTCGAGGTTAATGAAAACTTTTGTATTTTAATCATGTTTTAAAGGCTTATGATATGATAAAATAAAACATTAAATTATATGTGCTACCTACAACCGGAATACGATTGAGCCAACTACAATAGCCTATCTAGAGCTTCGTGGGAGGATCACATGTTAATTAAAAAAACTTTAAAATAACGAAAAAAATGGGGCTCGAAATACGCCACTGGTAAACTGACAACAGCTAAACTCAAGATTCACCTGAAACAAATTATTTAATTGGGTGAAATATATTTAAACAGGTAACAAAAGTAAAGAGTAGAATTAAAGGTTGATTCGATTTAGGGTTAATTAAAGGTTTGAAAGATAATTTAATTATTTTTACAAATCTGACAGGTCATGTGATAGTAAATAGACCAATAGAAATTTAAATAAATCAGCTATTGTCATGGCAGTTTCATTGATTTGGACCTTAATCTGAATCATAGGCGTAGCCAGGATTTTTCTAAAAGGGGGGCACGATTAGGTTGGTTTTTCCCCATAAATATTTTATTAAAGGTCTATATAAATGGGCAGTATAAAAATAATATGTTAAGTATTAAAAATTTTTTGGAAAGTTTCTTATTAATTTAGAGAGAATTTTATATAGATGGGCAGTTTAAAAATAATTTGGTACGGGATTTTTTTAGCAAGGCAAGTTTTTAATTTTTTTTGAAGTTGTAAATTAATTTAAAATATTGAGAAATTATGACTAAAATCCAAATCCCTTTGAACGGATAAAAAAATACCTTGATAAACTGGAAATACTGTAGATTTAAATTATTTATATAATCCATTAAGTTATGATTAATTTTCTTATGATATAAAAAGTCATAAAAATTAATGGCTATATTTAATATAGTAACAAAAAACATAAATTAATAAACTATATATCATTTAATTTAATATTTTAATAAAATCACATAAAATTAATTAGAATAGAAATCGATAATATTTATTTCATCAGATGGCGTATTTTTATAAATTAAAATTTTATCAATGAGACGAGATTAGGGCAAGTAAGGATCACCAGATAGGGGTGGGGGTGTTAATATAATTTTAATTTTTGATTCAGCTGATTATGACTTAATGTTTTTAGCGAGTAATCCAATTCCTAACGTCTAACGTTTTTAAGATTAATTTATATGTAAATAATTTACATCATTGGCGTACGCAGCGGGGGGGGCAGGGGGACAAATCCCCCCCCCCCCCCCCCCCCCCCCCCAAAGCCAAAAAATGCAGATGCCGGATATATTATTGAAAAATATTATTGAAAAATATTATTGTTTATATTAATTTATATTTGTTAATATTTATTCCTATCTCATATATATATTTAATTACATTTATTTAACACATTCATCTACTAAGTTATTTTATCAATTAATTTCGATTTCAAGTTTTCCTTGGCGTAATTTACCTATTATTTTCAAATTTTAGTGGCGTATTATTAATTTCTAGTCAAATAATAATTATTTCTGAAATTGTCCAACAGGGTTGCAACCTTGTCCAACTAGATAGAGTATCCGCCATCAAGCAGTAACAGCTTTTATGGAGTTAGAAGAGCCGATTATTAATTCTATTACTGAAATATCACAATGACCTGAAAGAAATATTTCCTCAGAAGCAAGAAAATAATTGGATTCAATACTTATTCCAAATTTTATTTCTCATTAGAATGTATTATTTAATTATACAACTATTTTATGTATTACTTTTCAAAAACATGACATTGACTTGATTAAGAAGATGAGAATAGCGGAGAGCATTTTATCAGAACTCAAGGAAATTAAGGCTAAAGTTGATGAAGAATTTCATATTTTATTGTTGAGTCAAAAGCAGAGCTATACGTGTTTAATATTTGTCTCCCACGACTTATAGCAAGGCAAGCTCATCGTTAAAACATTAATATAGGATCAGTAAAAGAGTATATCTTAATTACAGATACATTTATAACCCAAATAAATGAAATTTTAATTCACCATGCAGCACTTACAAATCTGCAAATATTAATTCCACAAAAGCCTTCCCAACCTTTTTCAGATGGTGATGGAAAAAAAATATTTGTTAGTATCCTATGATGCCTTACTATGTTTATAAGATTAACTAAGGTTGATATAGTCCCAAAATGCTATGGATGCTCTGCATTATTTCAAACACATTTTAGATTAAATTCCCAATGTATTAAAAGGGTTTATAAACTCTTCCCATTAGTAAACTAATGAGAGAACATTCTCTTTTTTAAGAAGAATAACAGAGGCCTGCAGAAGTACCATTTGCAGGACACGGCCCGGATTTTTTTTTAAGATTTTTTACGGCCTGGCCTGGGTTTATTTTTAAAAAATTTCAGGCCCGGCCCGGCATTTTTTAAAAATTTTAAGGCCCGGCCCAGCTTTTTTTAAAATAAAATTTTCAGGCCCGGCTCGGATTTTTTTAAAATAAATTTTATTTATTTTTGATTATAGCTAATAATAACGATTTCAAATATAGGCTGTTTTAAAAAATACAGCCCGGATTGGGTGTTTTTTTAAATAATTCAGGCCCGGCTTGGGTGTTTTTTTGAAAATTTCGGGCCCAACCCGGGTATATTTAAAAAATTAAAATACTCCCCAGCCCGGGGGCCGAGCCTACAGGTCTCTGAAAAACATACTAAGAAGTACAACATCTGAAAGTAGATGGAAATGTTTGAATATTCATAGGCATTTGACGACAAGCAAGGATGAGATAATTGAAAAATTAGCTCAATCACAACGAAGATTGGATTTTACATTGTAAATATATAACATACAAAATGCAATTATTCCTAGGAAAGTTTTTGTGTAAAGGCTCAAAAAAATCAAATTTCTATTTTGAATCATTTAAGTGATTCTTTACATATAATTTTTTTATAATTCACATAAATTTAAAATTGTGTATTAGAAATAGTTATTAGTCCTAATAAATTTATGCTTGATATTTAAAAAAAACAATAATATTTCTTAAAAAATTTTATTATCCCCCCCCCCCCCCTCCAGATCAAATTCCTGCGTACGCGCCTGATTTACATTGCAGTTTACCTAGCCATTTGCAATTTTATAGAACCCATATTAAAATTTAAAAAAGTCAATAAATATTTATATAAAAAAAATTAAAAATGAGGAGCTCTTTTCGAGTCATTTATTTTACATAGAATAAATTTTTAATAAAAACGTGGACAATTTTTTAAAAATAAATGAAATTTTTTGATTTTATAAAATATAATGCCAAATAAATTTTTAACCTATCTTGTCTTGAATGTGGAAAAAAATAAAAATGGGATTTAGTATTGATAACTTCATTATTGCTGAATATTTTTATCGATGAAAAAGCGAGTCGCAAATATTAATAATTTATATTTATATGATAGTGATTTTGTTTTCGAAAATTTATTTATTTAGATATTCTATTTATTTAGATATATAACTATTTGTTCTTTGTATAAAAATTACAGGTAATTAATTTTTCAAATATATACATTATCCTTGGAAAAAAAATATATTTAACAAATTTATTATAATTTATATTTTTTAAAAAATTTATTTATAAACTTTTTTTTGTTTAGAAATAAATGACAAATTAAAAAAATTTAACGTTCAAATTAAAAAAAAAACATTATTTTTAATGAAAAATATTATAAAAACCACTAAATTACAATTGCAATAAAATAATGACATTATTAATTTAAATAATAAATGCATATTTATATAAAAATCTGTAAACAAATCTAATTACCCGAAGGGTTTCTAATTATCATAAATCTTTATTTGATAAATATATTTTTAATTATATATTTTGGTTATATTACAATAAATAAATTTCAAGTTTCGATTGAAGTTAATTAATTTAAATTGAAAATAATAAGATTTTCAAACATTTTTGCATTATAAATATAAAACTTGACATTATATAGGAGAAAATAATTCATTCATCTATAAATAAAAACTAACATCATCAATATTTATTTAAATGAATGATTAGATTTTGAAATTAAAATTTCAATGACTATATTTTTTAATGCTTCAATAAATGGTCATATTAGTTATCAATGCTAAAGAAATTAGGTTACAGTGCACATTCGTTCTCTCGACGCTTATCAATTTACGATTGAAATATGTTTTATATAATTAGTTCAGAATTATCGGCTAACCTGACTCCACTAGGTTTAGAATCTAAGTTAACAAAGCCAACAGAAGTGTATTAATTTTAATCAGTAATTTACCATATTAAAAAAATTGTGAATTTCTTATAACAAATATCTCTTACTGTTACATATTTTTATTATTAAATTAAATTCTTATTTAAAATATGTTTTTTTTTTCAAATGTAGCAACTCAAATTAAAATAATAAGAGAAATAACATATAATTTCCTTTTCACTGATAAAATGATATTTTTTTTAGATCAAACACTTATAGCTAATTAATCAATTATTTCGCTTATGCATTATTCTTACTATTATAATAATATAAAATTTGATAATAATTAACCATATTATTTTTCTAAATAACAATGACATCACAAACGTATGACACAAAAAATGCCTATGGAATATTAAGTAAACTATAAATCAGCTATTTTGCCTTGTCACTTTATTAGAATGAAAATAAATGTTTATCACTAATTATTTAAAAATCTATTTAACTTTACTTAGAATAAATATTAAATATTTTAAAATAATTATTCGATTTTTGTTAAAAAATATTTTAAAAATGGTAATTTAAAAAAAGAGTGGCAATGATTTATGTAATTGAGTGTGTGTTGATATGAAGAGTTGCAATATGGGGTTGAGAACGGGTGGGATTATATCTTTTTTTTTATAATATCATTCATTATTAACTAAATAAATACTGTATAATAATAACTGTGAAGTGAAAGGTTATCGACATATTTTTTTTTACATAATATCAAATCAAGTAAAATATTATTTATTATTTCATTTTTATTTGCGAAAATAATATATATTTGTACATAATTGTTTATAATTCTTTTAATTTACGCATTGATATTATTATATTTTTTATAATAAGAGGATAGAACCTATATATTTTTTTGTTAATTTTTTGCTAGCCCCTTGCCGTTGCCATGCCAAAGAACTGAAAATAATGTTAAAAAAAATCATTTTTTTGCTTATAATATTGATTTTTCATATTGTTTTTGTGTGTATTTTAATTGTAATATATATTTGTAAAAAAAATTAATTTTATTTAAAACATTAATTTTACATATTGTATTTATGAAGACACTGGTCAATAGGAAAGATTGGAGAAGGAGAACAGAATTTTTGAAAGAGCATCCCCGTAGCCACAGGGGAGTCACCAGATCAAAAAATATTTTCGGTCCCAAGCTTGGTTTTCTAAATTTGTTTCTAGCTTATAAAAAAAATATTGCCCCCATTCTCAACAAAATTTTTAGCCACAGGCCTGCGAATTTTCATATATTAGATCTTTATGAATAGTTACATTAAATCCATAAAAAGTAACCATTTAGAGTTACAAGTTACCTCTAAAATATAACTTTCGTTTTTATATTCATTTTTTTTTCTCTTTAGCTTTCACCTTTTCTGGTGGTAAGCTCCTTCAACATCTCTCCACTTTATGTTATTCATACAATCTCTTTTATCTATTTTATACTTCTTTATATTGGCTCTAACTTTATGGCCCCATTGAAGTTTTGGCCTTCCTCTTTTACGTTTGCCCATCACTTCCAAACTTTCAACTTTATTTCCTATGTAGTTCATAGGCCTTCTCATTGTGTGCCCATACCACCTAAGTCTGTTTACCATTAACTTAGTCTTAATGGGCACTACCTTTAAACTATTTAGTATTCTTGTACTGCGCACCTTATCCTTTCTTGTTACCCCAGCAATCATCCTCAGCATTCTCATCTCCATAGTTTGTAGACTTCTCTCGTCTGATTCTTTGGTTGGCCATGTTTCCGAACTATATAGAATAGTTGGTTGTACTATGGAACTGTAGATTTTTCCCTTTGATTTGTGTGGGATTCTTTTGTCAAATAGCACTCCAGATAAAGATCTCCACTTTAACCACCCTTGATTAATCTTATTCTTTATCTCTTTTTCTATTGTGCCGTTTGTTTGTATAGTGGAGCCCAAATATTTGCAGCTTTCAAATGCGGATATCTGCCAATAATTTATATCAATACTCTCCGTTTCATCTCCTCCTATCACCATATACTCCGTCTTTTCTCTATTTACTTTTAATCCGTGCGCTTCTAGGATATTTATCCAATTCACTAAATAGCCTAAAAATTTATTTGGGAAAAGATTTGCGAAAACAGAGAATTGAACCGATATGTGCAATGATCCTCAGATGTAAATGCAGTTTAGGGGACAAATATCAACAGAGATATGAAAGAAAGTTGTCGTCGAAATAATTATATTCAATTTTATGGTGAAAAATGTATTTATTGCACATATAACTCTTAATTTTGCTAATTGGCTAAAAATCATCTTCATTCATTTTTATGGATTTCGATTTCTAATGCAGGAGAGGAGCACTTGAGAAGTATGATGACTAAATTTTATTATTATCAAAGCACTCTACCTCGCTGATTTCTGCCGAGTTTTGGGAAATATATTTTGCCAAAATTTTTATAATAGAAACTTGACCGGAACCAATTTAATAAATGGGCCTGAACCCGCCCCGTTCTAATATACCCCGGGTTGGATTGGTTATTTATAAATCGGTCCCTTTTCTGTGTTATCAAAATGTCCTACCAGACAATCTTAAATTTCTAAAACCGAAATCGGGTTCGAAAACTTAGATTTTTGGAATGCGTTTTATTTCCTAAAATATTAAATTGTATTATCAATTAACCATCTGAAAAGTTACATGATCAAACCTGAAAATGGATACCTCTATAGATCTCTGATAAATATAATAGAGTGTTTAAATAATCTTTTTTTCAAAAAAGATGTTTTAATGTGTTTAAATAATGGGTTGGATCTATTGGAAACCTAGAATAATGGATAAAGTTAAGAAATCAATCGGATTAACAAAAATTAGACCCCGCAAAATAAAAGTATGAGCCTATCATAATAACAAAACAGCCAATTTAAAATTGCTAGGCCAAATGTATTCTGACTAGAAAATGATAGACTTGGTAACCCATGACTTATCCACTTAGAAAAAATATATTTTAAATTCAGTGTGTTTCTAGTAATTGTAAATATATGAGATGATTATAGATTATTATAAAATTAGATAAGAATTTGCAATTCTTTCAAACTTATTGCTTAACAGTAATTTTATGAATATATTATTTATATAGAATTTAATTACATTTATATTTTTTATAGCTAGTGCAGAAGCCGCCACTTTAGCATTCTTCGATTTTAACGAACTTAAAACTAGAAATAAAGATGGAGGTCCTAAAACGATAACTACTCCTGAAATTAAATTGTTGCAATTGGAAGGAAATCCCAAAGAGTAAAATTATTATTTTATTTTATAGTAGTAGGAACCAGGGCTAATTTTCGCAGGGATTGTCAGTTCATCGGATTTTATTTAAAAACGATATATGTTGTGAGATTCAAATTTAATTATGTAATAGTATTATATAATAATATGTATATTTGTTGCAAAAAATATTTTTTACCCCTCAATTATTTAAATTTTTCCTAATGATAAAATTGTTTTTTAGGTAAAAATTATAAGGTTTTTACACCATAATATTAGGTGGCATTAAAATATGAAGAGTTTAAAGTAATAAAATTGACATTATATGAAATTTAAATCTCCTTTTTATTTCAAAAAGTTTGATGATCATATTTCATATAGCATGTTTAAAATTTATAGACAGTAGTAATCATAGTAGTAACTAGGAGTTAGTCGGATTACTTAAAAATATCATATATTATAATATATTATTATAAAATAAGTATTCATTGGCTACTATTATAGATTTAAATAAATTATATATGACAATGTAATAGAATTAGGAAAAAAAAATTACACATTTTTTAAAATTCAAATAATGTCATATTTTGTCATTTTTATAAAAATTATTTATATACAAATGGTATATTATGTATATCAATAAAATACTGGAATAATAATATTAATTATCTGAGATTTAATAAACCAATTGATTCTACAAGCCCCGGAGTTGGCTTGTTGGGGCAAAAATTTTCTTTTACCAGAATTAATCTTGAGAAAAAAGTATAAAGGATTTAAAAGATTTATCAATGAATAACTTTAAGTAAGTGTTTGAGCTATCTCTTGGTATTTTGTAAATTTAAATAAATTTTATAATGATTTTGACCAAAATTGCGCCGACTAGCACTGATCTCCCCTAATATCTTTTTAATGACATCTATCCATAAAAACAATATCCAGGTAAGCCAAAAATGTTTTACTGGTTTTTAAAAGTGACTGGTTTTGCCTATATTTAATTTTTTTGGTTTAATTTCGGTAAAATAATATGATGTTTAAACTAATTTCTGAAAATGTTTTATATATTTGCGACTCCTATTCATCGATTATAAAATGCTTAAAAATTTGGTGGGAAGGGTGAGGTGATATACAATTTAAACTATTACAAATAATTATGACTACGAATAAAAATATGAATTTTATTATTATGTTTTGATTGTTTCGAAGATATTTTACCCCTTAACTTATTTAAGTTTAATTTTTTTTTATCATATCATGATAAAAATCTTAGGCTCGGACAAATAAACGCCCATCTTCTTTAATATTAGCTCAAAAAACTAGCAAAAATCTAATTTTATTTAAATTTACACTTGGTTAAATAAAAAGTTTTGGATGTTTGGTTTTAAGTTTTCCATTTTCCTTACAAAGGTGGACCTCTATCATAATATCTGAGGGATGTCAATCTTATAATAACTATTTTTATCTCATGGCATGATAAAGGTAGAACAAGCTTGTTTGTTAGCATAAGAAGGTATAAATCACCACTCAAAATGTTAATTAATTTGAAATGTTTCTCTTATATTATTTTTCGTTAAGAATTTACTAATAAACGTTTCTATTCGATCATGAATTAGTTGTAAAATTGTAAATTTTCTTTAAAAATCTATATAAATAAATTATTTTAATATGTAAAACTCGGAAAAATTATTTTTTTTGTTATGAATTAAAATATTTTTATTAATTCTCAAAATTTTTCCTATTTGATTCCAAGAGCAAAAATTTTTTTAGATCTACATCCAGCTATAGTGATTAAATGCCGCTTTGCTCCTCAAATTTTGTAAATTGTTTACAAAGAGGTTTATAACCTTGACCTCTTTATTAGAGCCCAAAAAGGACAGCCCTATTACGATAGATGGTTTTACAGTTATTTGAAAATCATTCTCATAATCGATTAGTTTTGTAAATCGATTATTATTAATATAGTTAAAAAATATTTGAAAACCTAAAAATATCCATAAAAGATTATACTCTACTTTTTTTAAATTTGTCAAAAAAAACCTTTTTTAGTGTGACCAAAAAAATCAATAAAAATATAATTTATGTTATTTTTATATAATATGAAATTTAAGATTGAAGTTTTTGTTATAAAATAAGCAAAGCTTTAAGAAAAATTGATTAATAACTTTTTTCGACCAAAAAACAACTGATAAAACATGAATTATATTAAAATATTGGCAATAGAAATTTATATTAAACTTGTGTTTGTTTTGTATAGCAAAATTCTTTATTAATTTTTAACGATGAAATAAAAGTATGAAATTTTTTCTTTGTCATTAAATATTCAATTAAAATTTAGATCCAGGATGATTGATGAGTATACTGAGTAAAACTCCTCCAAAAATGACCAATCTTAAAAAATAGAATAAGATAGTGCCCACGATCCTAGTAGTTCGTTCTTAGACTCAAGCCAGATCGATTGACGGATTTGTCTTATTTAGGTTTGGTTTTTGAGTCTCCGCCAAACATATAATGTACTAATATTATATAGCCTGTAAGTAAAACATCCAGTATTTATTATTTATATTCCTCAGTATAAATAGTAGAATATTAATATAAATACAAAAATTGTTAGTATTCTTTGATCGGTAAAAAAATTTTTGATCAAAAATATAACTTTACTAGTAAAAAATAAGTATAGTGATAGAGGATTCATTGAATGTACTATGCCTATGCTCAGGAAGTTAGAAATCTACAATATGGGGCAATAAAAATTTTGAAACCAACAACCCCTTGGACTAGGTCAGATGGATCCATCCTATGAAAAATTATGATTAGATACCATTGAATCTCCCGTGGTTATTTTTATTTTGCTTTTTAAAATAGATAATATCTTTATCATCTCCTTTAAAATTGTATGAACAATTGGAAGCATTAATTCTAAAATCTATGCCAAAATTTTCGTGCTTTAATATGCCTTATGAGTGCTTTAACCAGTATAATAAGTAGGTAGTATAAAGGAAAAGATAATAAAATTTTAAGCAACTTATTAAAAAATGACCGAAGGCATTTAAAAATATTATTAATCCGTGGACAGTATAAAAAGGTTATTAATAAATAAGAAAAATTAGTTAGGCCTCATCCTAGAATGTAAAACATAGAAAAGTTAAATATATATAAACGAAATATCTTTCAAAAAATATTATTATCTGAGATTCTATGTCTGTGGCTGTTAACATGGATACTCCTATAATTTAGTAGCGGTAGCAAAAAAGCAAGAATAAATTTGTGACATCTTTGAAAATGTGATACTAAAATATAATGGATTGGTACTGTGAAATTCAAAACTATTTTACCCTTGCGATAAGTTTGAGCGATTAAGTAATATTTAATACTAAGTGCGCTTTTGCAAATGAAAGTAGAAAAAGTAAATCAAACATCGATCTCACACAAGTTATAGCATCATTCTTAGATTTTAAGAGATTTTTTCACGTACTTTTTTAAATAGAATGAATATATTTCTAAGATTATTTTATTTAAAGAATTAGAAAGGTTAAGAAAGGGGGTTTATTTAAATGAAATGTAGGCAAATTTTCGAAAAGATCTTACTTTAAAAATTTAATGTAATAATTTATATAAAAATATTTAAATTTGTAAATTAAGAAAAAAAAAGATTATTTAATTAAAATACAATAATAAGATTTGGCTTGTGTCCTGAAAAATGGACACTGATAAAAATAATAAATAATGATGTATAAAATTTTGTAAATCTGTCCAAATATGCTCGCGGAACTTTCCACACAGGGATCTAGTTTATTCACCCTCATAAAATATATCGACTAAAAATTATAATCTGAACGATTTTTTAACAAAAAAATCTGATATGGTAGTTTAGTGTGTTACTCTCTAAAAGTATTTTACTATAAAAATATTTAAAATTTTGATTTTAAAACGTTAACTTAGCAATTTTTTTTTAAAAACGTCCTTCGTTTTTTATGTGTTAAATAAAATTTATAAGGAAAAATATATAGTTCATATTTTTTTTGGTTATCAGAAAAAAGAATCTAACAGGAAATATTTTTTAATTAAAAAATATCGATCTGAAACAATAAAATGAAATCATGCCTAAATGTCTACTAAATTTTGATTAGCAAAATCTGGTGTAACTTAAAAAAAAACATTAAAATATAATATCACTAATTTGACCTTTTCTTGATTCATTGTGGATTATATTGGATGCGGTTATGATAATGGAATAAAATATTGCCTCCAAAATAACACCTAACACAAATATCCCAGTTTTAACAATCGGGTATTTTTTGTCTGGTATATTCTTACGAGTATCTTTGTCCAATATTTTTCGCCATTTTACTTATATAAATATCTAAGAAATTAAAAAAAAATAATTCTATCCTAATCCTTTCTTATGAATATTTGATAATTTTGGATATTTTTGATTAAGTTTAGTTCACGGTTCGGTTCGGTCTGGATCCGATTTTGAATGCCTACATAATAACAAAATATAATTTATAAAATTGAAAATTTTCATTTATTCGCATTAAAATAACAAAATATGATAACTAACGTAAAAATAACAACATGTTTCCCTTTTATTAAAAATTACCCCCCCCCCATCTTCCTTCATTTTTTAAATTTAATTAGGTGAATTTAAAATTGCTAAAATTATTAATTCGCATTATAAGTAATAAAATCATTTCTATGGGCACTCCATAAATAAAAAAAAACAAGCTTTTAAGCTTCTTAAAATAAATTCGAAGGTTGATGACGCTTTTGGTAAAATATACATATATAATAGAATAATAAGAATAGTGGGTCAATTTAAAAAACGGCCCGATTAAGATTTTAGTAAAAATAATACTATGGAAGATTTAAGATTTGGCAAATAGGGGTCCACTGCCATTTATTTGCGAAATCTCTAGGCTTACATAAATTATTATGGCTAAAATCTTAATCGCGTCGTTTTTAGAAATCGACCCAAATCGGGATAAGATATTCATTTTTACGTCATGATTCCTAATACACATGATAAATTGCACCATTTAGCTTGATAACTTAATTCTCTTTGTTATTTAGCCACCTTACTTGGAAAATAATTTGATCACCGGAAATTGATTGAATTGTTTTTATTTGATTCATTATTAAAAGATAATATACATATATAATCAAAAATATATACTTTTTCTTTCGGTCCAGACCGAACTAACTACGAAATCAATTTTTTAAGACCAAATCTTCACTTCAAACCGAGAAAACCGGACCCGATTACTATATGAAATTTATGAAAATTTAATTTGAATCATAAATTAGCCATCTAAAATTCATTATATTTTAAGAATGCTAAGCTAAGTATACAACCATTCATGTTTTATAGATTTTAACGCATTTATCAAAATTTCTGGGCCCAACATAAATTTGATGAGGTTTTAACCATTTTAAGGTTTTCATCTTAACTTTTATGGTTAATATATTTTAAAATGTTTTCATAAATAATTTATTAAAAATTATGGATTTTATAGAATGGGAATAATCCCTATGTTTCTGGAATTTTGTCTGAAACATATAGATATATCTCTAATTTAATTTGTAATTAGCATAATTTTTAAAAAAAAACTAGATTGGAGGAATGGAACAAGGGCATCGTTAAGGGTGATTGCCAAAATATAGCGAGGCGATTAATGGAACTTCCTGCCAACATTTTAACACCCGAACAACTAACTAAAGAGGCTCAACGATTATTCACCGGTTTACAAGATGTTAAAATTTTTGTTAGGTAATTAAATTCAAACATGCTTGTTTACTATTAATTAATTTTGTTGTTTTACGGAAGGATAAATAGCCACGAAAAAAGATCGATTTATTGATCCAAGCAAAAATTTTATTATCATCTAGAATATCAATTAGTTGGCCAATTTAAGCTCCTATTCTAGCAAGTTTGAGTACATTCTAAGTGATTATTTTTCTAGAGAATCTCACCTAATATGAATGAAATGATTTTGAATGTTCATCATTTAAATAAAAACGACTTCAATTTAACAATGATAATTACTTTGATTATGCCAGGTTATTCAAAAAATATTCACCATTAAAATTTATAGTTATATATTTCTATACATTTTTTTAAGAGACAAGAAATGGATAGAGGAGCACAAAATGGGATCATTTTTATCGGTTAGTCACGGATCCGATTTGCCTCCTTTCTTTTTGGAGATGCATTACAATAAAGCGGTTGATAGCAAACAAAAACCGGTTGTATTAGTCGGCAAGGGTATAACCTTCGATAGGTGAATATTTGAATAAAATTGTAAGGAACTGAATGGAGTAAGAACAAAATTTCATACGGACAAGGGGATTTATTTGTTATTAGAAACGAAGAAGGAAACAAATTTTAAATATATGATCAAATGGTAGAAGATTTTTTTTAAAGAAAACTTTCACCAAATTACTTATCGTTTTATAATGTATCAGTGGCGGTATATCCCTCAAACCATCTGCAAATATGGAGGACATGCGGGCCGATATGGGGGGAGCTGCATGTGTTATAGCGACCATATTCGGGATTTCGAAATTGAATCTCCCCGTCAACGTAATAGGTAAATTCGATTTGATTCATTTTTTTAATTAATGTTCACAAAATTGTATTTGTAAAAATTTGAATAAAACTAATCACGAATTTTTGCTTTTATAAATGTAAATAATAATTTTTAAGTAAAAAATGATTATTATTTTTATATTTTAAATGGTTGGCTAATAATATTTTTAAAATCGTTAAAATATTCATTAATTATAGAATTACATAATATTAACTCAAAAAAAAAGTTTTGAGAATAACAATAAAATATTATAGGAAATTCATTTAAAAAATATTAATTTAATATTAATCCAAATTTTTTAAGGAAAAATGATTATTTTTTCAACTATATCCTTTATTAAATTATGCTTTATAACCCATTATAGTATAGTTTATTAATTTGAATTATTTTGTAGCAGGCCCGATTCTAGTATCACCCATTTACCCATTTGTGGGAGGGGGGGGGCAGTTAAAAAAAATTCCAACACCTTAGAACGAATATTTAAACACAAATTTGAAATATACCGATTTTATTTGAAAAATACCACATATAAAAATATAAAATGTTCAAATATGTTTATAAAATTAGATGGAAGATAAGAATTGATTTATGGATGGAAAGAAATAAGTTGATTTAATAATTTTCCAAACATTATATAAGAATGTTGATTTAATTTAATTGTGCTTGTATAATACTTGTTAGGGATTCAATTAAAAAATGTAATGTAATTTTGAAAATATTTCCAAAATTAATCTGTTATGTTTTTCCATGTCTTAATAAAACAAGTTACCCTTTCTTATATCACTACCAGAACGTTTATGTGATTTAATAATTGTTTTTAATGGTGAAAAGTTGACTCACATAGATGTGGATGACAGAATGTTTGAAAAACATTTCGAAATGCATTTTTATATGAGTATAGAAATTTCAAATCTGATATAACATCTTTATAATTTTCTAAACTTTACAAATAATTTTTTAACTCACTAATTCCTATTAGGTTTTAATTTTTTTTTGTCTAGAAAATTAAAATGATCAAATTATCATGTTTTTCAAGGCCCTTTTATTTAAGAACTTTCTTTAGTTGGTAAAACCTTTTTTAGTATAGATTGATTCACCATTGTTTAAGTTATGGATCTTACAAGCATTATAAGATCTTTTTGAGGGATATTGGTATTGTTAAAAAGCCCGATTTCGGTCGATTTTTAAAAACGGCCCGATTAATATTTTAGCTAAAATAATATTATGTAAGCCTTGTCATTTGACAAATAGATATCCAAATCCCAGGTTTACATAATATTATTCTTCTTATAATTTTAATCGGGCCGTTTTTTAAATCAACCCGAATCAGGCTTTTTAACACCACTAGATGTTGGCCTATATAGTTACACCTGATTTAAATCAGTTGTAAATATTTGCAATAAGAATAACTTACAAATTTAACCTACGGTAACATTTTATATTCAAGTAACTAATTCTATTCTTATCAAATGTAAATGTGTCCAAGAAGTATATCAGTTTCTAAAGCAAAACACAAAGTGACTCGTGGCGCAACGATTTAATTAAAATTTAAAGATAAAACAAGTATAACGTCTACAGGTGGATTGTAAACGTTGATGCTTTTTTTAACTCTGAATAATTACTGTTATTATAGTTCCTAATTTATTTATATATACTTCAATGTTTATTTATATAACTCATATTTTAAAAATGAACTATCATTAATTATGTCTCTTTTTTTATCACCAACAATATTTATTGCGTTATCATATAATAGTTGTTATTTTATAAATAGATGATAATTTTTTTTGTAAGATCTAGCGTCTATTGCGTGCCACTTGCGTCCTCCATCATAGTAGTATATTTTTCCATATACTTTGTTATGAAATATCATCGTGTCGTTGTGAGCTTGAAAATAAACGTGTGTTCTGTCTTGGTGTCTGATATTAAACGTGTGTAATATTGAGTATTTCTAAAAATTTATCAAAATTAAGATTTGATGGGAAAAAATAAATTATCACTAAATAATTCAATTTAAGTTATTAATTTTAAGTAGTTTTCGCCTGCTACAATAAAACAAAATGCAAAGTGACTCGTGGCGCAACGATTTTTATTAAAATTTAAAGATAAAACAAGTATAATTAGTAAAATTTTATAATGAATCAAAATGAAAAATCTTATTTTTATATATATTTACAAAATTTATAATTAATAATTTAAAAACTAATTTCAGGGGCGTCGCTAGCCTTTACAATCTCAGGGGGCTCAACTAAAAATAATTTATAGGGGGTAGGGTGGGGGGTGCAAAGCCCTTCATACTCCCATTTTTGCAGGCCTTCGGCCGGGTTTTTTATTAATATATTATACTTTTTTAAAATTTGCTCCCCCTGAACAATTATTATGAATTTTATATTTTGTCATTTATATATTATGCATACAAAATAAATTAGCATATAAATCATTAAAATAATACAAGTCTAAAAATAATATTTTTTAATATAAAATCTATTTATTACAGTATAAAATATTTTCGATTACTGATTTAAAAAAATTACGTCTAAAGAATTACAAGTGATAAAAAGATTAATTAATTCATACATATGCCTCAATTGATAATTGTTTTTAAAAACCACATAATAATATAATTCTTAGCAACATACATTGTCATGAAACTAATATAACTCTCTGCTACCATTTTAGACAATGTTTTATAAAATGGACTAATAAGGAAAATTTTATAGGCCTAGCCAAATAAACAATTCTCGAAGAAGAGATTATAAACGACCATCATAAAACTATATGGTGGTTAGAGCTTCCTCTTAGATGATATGATGGAAGCTAGATAAGTAATCGAGAATATTATTGTGAGATATTAAATTTCTAAAAGATTATCTTCCATATTTAATAATATATAAACGACTACACAGTTGACCATTATTGCATATAAAATATGCATTCATATGATCTCAGCAACTATAGTAATAATCTTAACTTACATTGCCACACAAATGATAGATGCCGGTTAATTTGCAGTCATAACTATGACACTCACGATGTTAACTCATAGAATTTATTATGTTATATAAATAGATAAAACAAAAACACTAAAAATCTTTAGAAGAAATTATGTAAATATATTGAAGCCTTAAGTTATTTAAACGGCAAGGAAGCTATATTAGAAATGAAACATTTTAACCAGAGTGATATGATGAAAGCAATTAAAATTTTATATATTATTATCTCACCACATCGAGTTGGTATATTATATCTTAAAATAATAGTAATTTGTAATAATATCAAAAATATACTCGAAATTTAACTCGAAACTGTTTTTCAAATAAGAAAAAAAATAGCTTTCTTAAAAACACATAAAAAAAGAAAAGAAAATATATCTAATTTTTAATGTCCATTGTGGGATGAATAATAAGATGTTTAATCTTTAATAATATTTTTAAATATAAATAGATGGCGTTAAAGAATTGAATGCAAATTGTTACTTATATTTATTATCAAAAGCATTTAATAGTAAAATTTATTAAAATATTAACTGTAATATTTTATATAACTGTCAAATACTTATGTAAAAGTGGCATTTTACCTAATATTTTATAAACAATTATATATAATAGGGAATTATAAACTATATGTCTACTTTTTTATAAAGACAATCTACTATACTTATTTGGACTTTGAAATTATTTTTAGGAAGAGGCATGGTAATTAAATTTAAAAATGAATAATATAGGTGATTTGTGATTTTGCACTCGGCTAATTACAATATAAAATTTGTTAATTTTAAATTAATAAATGATTATATTTATTTAATTAAGGTTATATAATAATTTAAAATAAAAGTCAATTAAGCTTCAATTGTTAATGCTAAATTAATAGAGTGATATTGATATTCTATTTTTAACACAGAATTTGATTGCAAGCTGTCATAGTGAAAATATAATTTATATGTATTAATAATGTAATAATTAAAATAGTATTCATTTAATAAAACCTTAGATAGTCTTATTAGTTTTTAAATAATAAAATTAAATATATATTACGTAATAGAATTATAAAAGAAATCGTTCAGGAAGCCAATCAAAACAATTTGTTTTTAGTTCAAGGGGATATTAAGGAGCTATTAAAAAAAAATTACTTCAGGGGGCTATTCAAATTTTTCAGGGGGCTCAAGCCCCTGCGCGCCCCTCCCTAATGACGCCACTGACTAATTTGTCTGTCGTTTTACAAAAAATAACCTTTGTTTTTGAATAAAATATTAAGTTACAAAATTGTAAATAACTTTACCAAAATATCATTTTAAAAAAAGTAATATATAAGTTAAAATGCGAAGGTTAAACTAACGAAAGTTAAACTAAACAATTAAAATTTAAATTCAATTTGAATATAAAATAAAAATATAAAGCGAATAAAGTTTATTTAACAGTTTTAAAATCTACAAGTTCTAATTTAAAGAAACGCGTGATTGTAATATTTATTATTTTATATATAACTTATAACTAGCCATTCAATAGTTTATTTTTGATTGTTGTATTACATAGGCTTATTATATTATTATGAATTATAATAGATATATAATGTATAAATGATATTATATACTATATATGAAGTTGTTAATATTTTTTAGAATTTATTTATTTTTATTGTAATTCTTTGAAATTATAATCTAATCACTATTATTTTTAATTTTTAGGGCTTTATATTTTAATTGTTGAACAGACTTTAAATTATTAGATTTATATATTTTTCAAATAATTAAATTTTAATAAAAGTTTTTATAGATTAAATAATAATAATTTTTTTTATATATAAACTTTTTTATTCATTATGATTTGTATGTATCAAAATGAAATAATTAATTCTAAACATTGCTAATATATTGTGTTAAAAAATATAAGATATTTATTTATAGTAAATTATATATTAAAAGAAATTTAAAAATTATTTATTCATAAAGTTTAAGAACGTGCACGCGTTACTTTTTTTTGAATATGAACGTTGAACGCGAATGCGTTCGATTTTTACTAATAAACATTGAACGCGTTTGATTTTTTAGCAATGTTTGTAGCACTACAATAAAATATCAAAAAATGCTAACTATTATATAACTATAATCATTAAAAGCTCGCAATAGCTGGAAAAACAACAAAGTGTAAAGCTATTTTGATTTCAAATTTTTGTATATAATTTTTTTTATGTGTTAAATATAATAAATAATTAATTCATTTAAAAGGTTTAACACCTATTTGTGAAAATATGCCAAGTGGGACAGCTACCCATCCAGGTGATGTCGTCACTTCAATGAGTGGAAAAACCATACAAGTATATACAATATTTTTAGCATCACAAGATAATAATTACTACTAGGATAGGATTATAAAAATATATAAACATTTGGTAATTTTATTTGCTCATTATTTTCAGGATAAATCATATTCTATTTGTTTTTTTAATTTATAGGCGAATTATTATTATATCTTTCATAATCTAGATGATAAAATTAAAATATTTATTTTTTAATGTCTAACTTTGACAGTGCATTGCAACTTACATTTAATAAAACTTTTAACCTTATAATTTTGTTCTTCATCATACTTTTAATTTAGTAATCTAATAAACAACAATAAATATTCCTAAAATATATATATTTTCATTATAAAAAAAACATACAAAATGTGCTGATAAAATTTGAAAATTTTAACATAAAATGGAGTATTGTAAAATATAATTTGTGTTAATATGGCTATAATAATTATCATTGCTTTTGATTCCTCTTAAGAATGAAAATTTATTTTCGCGTACATATAATACCATTCTTTTTATATAATAAGAAAGAAAAAAAATCAATCGATCGGCAAGACTGGTGAAAAGTATAAATTCTTCTGGCAAGGAAGCTATGATGGTAAGGATGGGGTTAGGGTATTAGTTGCGGAGAAACTGATGGACAAAGTAGTCGAGATGAGAAGGCTAGATAACCAGATTTGGGGTTATCAAGATGATTTTTGGTAGTATAATATTATCTCGGCATATGTTCCTCAGGTTGGAAGAAGTAAAGAAGAGAAAAATATATTTTGGTACAGTCTATTGGGGGTGACATCGAGACTGACAAATGAAGAGGGGATTATCCTGGCTGGTGATCTGAATGGACATGTGGGAGCGAGGGCTATGAAGGAGTACATGTAAAATTACGGCATGAGAAATCTGGAAGGGGAGAGGATTTTAGATTTTAGTGATGCTATAGATATGATTGTCTGTAATACAATGTTTAAGAAAGAATCAGAGAAGCTGGTGACTTATAAGTCGGGTTGTACCAAAAGTGCAGTGGATTATTTGTTATTACGGAGATGTGATAGATGTATAGTAAAAATGTGAAGGTGTTATCGGGAGAGGAATGTACTTTTAAAGGCACCAGGATCAGTAAAAGAAAGTTTGTGCCAAGGCTGAAGGTTTGGAAATTAAAGGAGGAGAGACGTCAATTCAATATGAAATTTGCGATAAGGGAGGCGGAGGTGGCACAAGCATCTGAAGATAAACTACAAGTGGGAAGCCATAAAGAAAGCTTGGGTGATGACAACTGAGGAGGTATGTGGATGGACAAAAAGGTCGCCTAGACATAAGGAGACTTGGTGGTGGAACCCAGAGGTATTGAAAGCTGTGGATAAGAAACGGAGATGCTTCAAAGTGGTATAATAGTAAAGAAAATAGTAATAACGATATTTACAATATGGCGAAAAGAAATACTAAGAAATTAAGAGCCAATGCGTAAGAAGAAAAAAGGCAGGAGTTTGCTTAAGAAATTAAATGCCCTGAAGGAATGGGAAATGTGGTTCAAATGGCAAAGCAGATGGCAAAAAAGAGGCAGGATGTGGTAGGTGTAAATGTTTGAAAAATATGGAAGGAAAAATGGTGATTGATAGTAGTGGTAATAAGAACACCTGGAAGATCTACATGGAAGTTAGAAAATGTATGGGATAATAATGTTAGTTGCGCAAAAGTAGAGGTTCCAGGGTGTAAATCTGGCAAGGATGTAATAAAGAGAGCAGTGAAAAAGATGAAAAAGGGAAGGCATCGGGTTTAACGAGGGTGGTATCAGAGATGTTTAAAGGTTCTGATGACTTGGAGATGGTTAATGAATTTAGCCAATCAAATTGTGGAACTATTCTCGAGGACTGACGAAAAAGTATATCTCAGTATACAAAGGGAAAGTTGATCCTTTAGATTGCAGATCTTACAGAGCTATTAAACTCTTGGAACATGCAATGAAGGTATTTGAGAGGGTGTTAGAGAAACGGATAAGGGAACAAACTAAAATTGATGTAATGCAGTTTGGTTTACATCGGGGAAAGGCACGACAGATGCATTTTTTGTGGTTAGATAAATACAGGAGAAGTATCTTGCGAAGGAAAAAAAATAGTATTATGCGTTTGTTGATTTGGAGAAAACATTTGACAGGGTGCCGCGCGAGATTACTAGATGGGCCTTGAGAAAATCAGGTGTGGAGGAATTGTTGGTAATGGCAGTGATGGCAATATATATGGGAGCACAAACTGCAGTACGGACGGTTGATGGAGATAGTGAAAGCTTTGAAGTGAAGGTAGGTTCATCAAGGATCCGTGCTGAGTCCATTATTATTTATCTTAGTAATGGATGTAGTGTCTAGAGAAATGCGTGAAGGACTTCCCTGAAAGCTATTATATGCATATGAATTTGTACTAATGGCAAACAGTGAGGGAGAATTGAGGGATAAAATTATTTAATGGAAGATTGCTATGGAAGCAAATGGCCTGAAAATAAATGGAGCAAAGACGAAGGTGATGATTGGTGGGGAAAATCTAAAGATGGAGTAATCCGGTAAATGGCCTTGTGGTGTATGTGGGAAAGGAGTTGCTAGAAATTAAATCCAATGCACAAGATGCCAGAAATGGGTACATAATAGATGTCGCGGGAAAAAGGAAGTCTGATATTATCAAGAATGATTTTTATTTTGAACGTGCATAAAGGGTGTACATAATAATGATAACGTAGAAAATGGTGGTCTGGATATTGGCAATAAGTTAACCCTAAGAAAAGTAGATAAGTTATGTTATTTGTGTGATATGCTAAAGGCAGATGATGGTGTAGATTCTGCCGTTGTTGCGGGTCAGACAAGCATTGAGAAGTTCAGAGATGTCGTCTATTCCTACAAATAAAAAAGTCTCTCTGAAGTTAAAGAGGTAAGTTTAAGCAGCTGTGTAGTTTATGGTGGCGAAACATGGGCAATGAAAGCGACTCACTAAGCTAAATTAGAAGGAACAGAGATGAGGATGATTAGATGGATGTGTGGGGTATATTTGAGAGAAAGAAAAACTAGCAAGGAATTGCAAGCAAGACTGGGTATAGAAATGATTGGAGGGGTAATGCGACGAAATAGACTAAGATGTTTTGGGCATATGGAACATATGTCAAAAAATGACTGGGTAAAGAGATAAACCTTGATGGAAATAGGAGGATCAAGACCTAGAGGAAGCCCAAGATGATGCGGACAAATGTGATAGCAGTGGATATGAGAAGCATAATTCTTACAAATATTGTTGCTCAGGACCATCAAAAATGGAAAAGAAAAATCAGAGGGAAAACTGGCCTACCTGGGTACACTTGGATATCTCCATAAAACGGAGAAGAATATTATAGAATCAATAAATCCTGTGATAATTGAAAATAATCAATTTATAAATAAAATACAATAATCATAACGTAAATTATATCATTACAAAGTTAACCGAAATACATTAACCCAAATGATATTCCTTTTTATATCGAAATTATAATACCATCATCGATATATGTCATTTTCAATTAGTGAGTCAAACAGCCAGATTTGAGCTGATTAAGAAAAACGGTTAACTCAATATTTTATCCAGGAAAATAGTAAGCAAACCTGAAAATTTTCTCATAGATGACACAAAGGTGTGGGGATCTATTAGCGAAATCTCGAGGCTTAAGCCATATTTTTCTGGCTAAAATATTGAATTAGCCGTTTTTAAAATCGGCTCAAATGGAGCCGTTTAACAACACTAATTGCAACTAACAGATACAAATAATAATAAATGATTTCCAGCAAAAATTTGTTGATATTGAAGGTAAAAAATAATAATTATGTTTTAAATAGTTTACATTTTTAATTTAATTTTAATATAGTTTAACATGTGTTATTTTTAGTATATTTTTAAAATAAATATAACTTAAATATTAGATCAAAAAAATTTTAACCCGAAATTTTAAAAAAGGGTTTGGGCTCAGTAAAATATTGAAGGTTTGGTTTCGAGTTCTAAGCATTAATTATAAATGTTTCATAGTCGACATATGTGTTTTAAAACGCTAAGGAGCTGGAAAAACGTTCTCAAGAATGAGAAACTAAAGGAATACTGTTATCTAGCAAATATATATCGGAGGGAAATATAACCTTTTTATTTATATTCTAAAGTGTACCTTTTCAAATAAAATAACATCTTGTTTTTGAGCCATTTAGCTTTTATCCATGGTGGCGAGAGGAGAAGGAAATTACTTATCTCGCTAAGGAGTAAGTTTTGGATCAATAATATATTAAAATTATAAAATTGTTGAATAATATAAATTATAATGTGTTATTCATATTCTATCTTTATTTTAGTTTTATAAATCGTAACGTGTGTTATTCATGTTATGTCTTTATTTTAGTTTTATAAATCGTAACGTATATTATTCATATTATATCTTTATTTTAGTTTTACTTTCAAATTATATTTTCATTTTAGTTTTACTTTAAGTTAATTTATGTATATTCGAATTTTATTTTTGTAAAAATGTTATATATATGATATAAAACAGATAAAAAAAATAATAGTTTTACTTTTCTTCAAAAATAATGTTACATTTTTCAAAATTTATGATTATTTTCCAATGCACATTGTTAACGACATGCCAGTTTTTTAAACTATTATTAATATGATCATGAAACTAATTCTCCATCTCCTTCAATTTCTTTACTCTCTATCTATTTTTATTACTATTTTTTCAGATCGATAACACCGATGCAGAGGGAAGATTGATATTGGCCGATGCATTGACATATGCTCATCAATTTAATCCTGAGGTCATAATCGACATGGCTACACTAACTGGTTACTCTATTATTTTATTAGAATCTAAGTATATACTAATCTCAATGCAACTAATAAGTTAAAAGAATTTATTAAAATGAATTTTAAAATAAAATTCTGAAATAATAGAAACATATTCACATCATAAAATCTATTTAAAAAATATAATATCAATCATGGTATAAAATCAACTAGTTAAATATCTTATATACTTAATCTTATAATTAAAATATTATTAGATATTTTCGGATAATTTACTTCTTTTCTTAGCGATGAGATACCTTCTCAACGCCTATCGGAGATGTAGGTAGGAATAAAATATTTAGATATTTTATATAATTTGTTTAGATAGCTCATATAATTTGGCAAGTATTTTTGGGATTTCCTAAAATCAAATATATATCTTCGTCTTACCTAATTTTTCATAATTCAATCGAAAAATATCTCTTGAAATGCGGCTTTCCATTATTACTTTTTTTGACACCGCTTTTGATTTATATTTATAATTAATCTTCATAAGATTGTGATGACATCGAGTTTTTATTTCTCCAATATAGGTCTCTGAGCTGGATTTATTTCTTCCGCATATTTTTATTTATTAATATGGGCCTAACCATCATTAAAGCGGAAAAAAACTTAATTATGAATGATTTTTAAAATTTTTATACTTGTAGATTTGTTGAATTTAAAATAAAATTTCTCAACATAAACCGCATTTGAGTGTTTGCTGGCATTTCTACGTTTCCTTTCTAAAAAAAATTTAAATTAGCAATTATTTAAAAAATTGGTGAATTCGGGTTTCCCAGCTGATATCAATTTTGCAATTCATGATTTAGTAAAGTAAAAATCTATTAGCTGAGGTAATCAATGAACCTGAAATCTCGAAAAAAAAATTATGCAGATATTCGAAAATTCGCCTATTAGTAGAGGCAAGTATCCTTAACTCACTGCATCCTATATCTGAACTAAATAAACAACAAACATTTAATTTTAAAATTAAATTTTGTGAAAATTGATCTATAATAAAAGTCAAATGTGTCAAAAATCATTTTATTATCTTTAAAAGAAATTAATTTTTAATTGAAGGCCATTTTTTTTATTATGAGAAACATTTGTTATCTTTCTAAGCATAAGAGATTAGATAATAGTTTAGAATACTAAGTTATTTTAGATGATTGCTATATATTTATTGTCCAAAGAAAATTTAATCATTTGATTGTGTTATTTAGAATTAATAAGTGTCAGGTCTATATTTATAACATTTATAATTATAAGACCCATATAAACTGTCTAATATATTTTATAACATTTATAATTACCGTCGAATATATTTTCATAATATTTTTACATATAAACTCCATTTTTTCTTAAAACAAAGGAATATAATATATATAAAACAACTTATATTCTTCTTAAAAAAATATGTTGAAAAACGTCCATAAATGTCAATTATAACTCGACATATACAACATGCCCCCCTTTCTTGAGAAAATCAAACTGGGGTAAAATACAATTTAACTCATATATAAAATCTAAGTAAATGCCTACATAAATTCAAATAAATGCTCTAAAAAAATATAAAAATTATTATTTATTTCATTAGATTTTTGTTCCAGGAAGTTCATATTCTTTCTTGACCATATATAATTGTCATTCATTTGATTATCATTTAATTTTAACGGTATTCGGGGCATAGCTTGATCGATATTGTACTGCCGATTGTCATTTAATCTAATGGTTAGTAAGTCATATCTTGATTGATCCGTAGCATCATTGGTCAGTCATGATCATTCTTATCTTAGGCTTAGTAAAATAAATCCAGCATCATTGTAGTTGATAGGGCAAAATCATTGTAGTTGATTAGACAAAATATTACAAAAAGTAAGTCAGTCAAATGTTTTTTTATAATTATATCCAAAATGTATTCTTTATTCTTTCCTTTTAATATTTTCTCAGATACACTTCTTCCCTATCAATCATAATCCTAAATTTCAGATATTTAACACAAAATTTCTTATCCCAATTCACAAACAATGAATTCCTTTCTTCCCTTCCCTTGGAAAAATAATATCAAATGGCCAATTCCCTTCATTTATATAACTTCCAAAATTTTAAACATAAAAATATTTAATATTATCTAATGGCTCTCTCCATTATTATCCTTTACATATATAAATCCACATTTATACATATAAAATCAAAAATATTTTTATTAATTTACCTTTACATATATACAATATTACGCATGTATATTATAATCCTTTAATATTATTCTTATTTTTAAAAAACTATGTATGACCCATTTTTGACTTTCAATCCATCGCACATGTTTAACATCTAACTTTACTTATTTTTTTGGAATTTGCATACTTTTTATTTCATTTATCACTCTTTTTTTTTATATACAACATTATTAAAACCTTTCACATCTAATTTTCTTTTCATTTTTTTTTAAAACATTAACAAAATGTTTCATATCCATAATTTTCATTTCATCTTTTTTTAAAAAAAAATATCAATATTATCACAATCCTTTTTTTTCACGTTATATTTCAAAAAAAATTTATTCATGCTTATTATAATCCCAAAATTTACATATTAAGCAATCTTTTCGGTCCTGCATAACGTGGGGTCTTAATTTCCTACGAAACCTATACTCCATTCAATGAGTCTTAAGGCTTACAAAATAATACAAAATAAAATTTATTATCAAAATACTGGGTTTAAAAGTTAAAATTAAAACACATATAATACAGAAATTATTATTAACTCCACTATATCCCATGGTACAAAAATTATTATTACCCCCACCATATCCCATGGTACTAAGATTATTATTACCCCCACCATATTGTATGGTTCCCAAATTTTTTTTCCAAAAGTACACTTTTATCACGGTAATATATAATGGTTCCTCCATTTATATCACCAACCTTTAAAAGTAAACTTATATCACAGTAATATATATTGGTTCCTCCATTTATATATCATATCACCAACCTTTAAAATAAACCTAAAACAAAAAAAAACTCTTTTTACCCGTGTTTTACTTTTTATCACTTATTTTAATTTGCTCAATTGACTTGAAACCTTGTAAACCCATACCCTACTTTCTATCTTATCTTTTAATTTGTTCAATATTTAACTATTTATTGTAAAATAACTTTATAAAAAAAATTTCTAATAAACGCACTTTATTGAATTCCCCCCCCCCCCTTCTTCTTTCTTTTTAAATGGATTTTTCACAATTCAAAATTAACTTTATTTTTTAAATTCATACATTTAAATTTAATTCTTTCAACTATATAAACTATTAGGGGTGTATCGATGCCACTTTTTGGAGGCCGATCCGATCCGATATCCCGATATAAATTGATATTGGCCGATTACCGATCCGATATCAGATCTAATTTTGTATTCTGTAAAGATACCAATTAATTTTAGTATAATTTTTATTAGTATAACATCTATAATTTAACTATACCATAACTTATGTCATTTAAATATATTATAATGATCAGTTATAGTTTATCAATTCAATTGCAATTCTAAAAGTATATAAAATATATTGTTAAATCACTTTTATATAATAAGTAATAAACAAATATATTATGAAATTTGAAATAAATATTTAAAATAATATTTAACATTAATATATCGAAGATTTCTTTTTAGAAATACCAAAATTTCCAATTTGTCAGAGGTCAGCCTGCGGCGATGGTAACTGTCAATATCACCAACTTCACTAAAAACAGTCTGAAGATTATCGCATACTTTTATAAACAGAATGCGCAAAAAATAGCAATATGGCAGAATGTTTATTAATTAATTATTATTATTAAAAAAATATACATAAAAATGGATTTCGATTTTATTTATAAAAATAAAAGATTTTAGATATAACTTTTTTTAAAAATTTTGTAACATTTTATTTTTGTTAAAGACACCATTTTATATCGGATCGGATCAGTATAATATTGGCCGATGACCGATATTTTAAAATGCGGCCCGATCCGATCCAATAAAAAATATCGGTACATCCCTAATTAGTATATATATAAAATATTAAAATATATAATCTATATAAAATATTAAAATATATAATCTATATAAAATATTATATATAAAATATTACCATATATAAAACATTAATCATTTATATATCCAAAATTAACTTATAAATGTCAAAACATCTTAACCCGCGACTTCTTCTTAACTTACAATCATTCTTTATATTGCTTAACCTCAATCTTATATTTATGCTTCTTCTAAATTTCATGTCTAAGAATATTTACATTATAATATATTATTTTTATATTTCATTCTTTCATCTTAATTAATACAAATCCTTTTTATTTTCCATCATTTAATTTCTAATTTAATTCTATTAATATCTTTTTATTTTTATTTAAATTAATGCATTACATATATGCAGAGTTGTTAAAAGATACTTTTTAAATGGATCTAGATACAGATACATAGTCTCAAAAGTTATCTAGATACAGATACAGCGTCTAAAAAGTTATCAAGATACAGATACAATTTTTAAATGTATCTGTATACAGATACATTTTTTATTATGCTCTTATAGGTTTGCATAAACCTAAATTAATATTATATTGTGAAAATTCATGAAATGAGCTAAAAAATTTATTGACGCGATATTACATTTATCAGAATATAACTAAAATAATGATTTTAATATAATATATGATAATATATGATTAAATAATTATTAGATTTCAGTAATAAAACATTTTCAAAATTTTGATCATTTAGGCATCCTCGTTTATCTGTAAAGACATTTTTAGCAACACTAAATAGTCTTTCCACAGGGGTGCTTGAAGGAATTGTAGTGTTATATTTAATAAATAACAATTTTATATCAGGGTATTCTTTAAAAATGCTAAAATCTCTACATTCATTTTTGAAAATTGATGGAGGATGAGCCTTGTCCAGTATTTTCTTTGGTAGTTTTATTTTCCTTCCCCTTTTTTATTTTTGTTAACAAGGTTGGATGT